AAACTTACTCCCAAAAAATCTTTAAATGAAATGAAATGAAATAAAATTAATTAATTAATTTGTAAACTTTTATATTAAAATATTAAAAATACCTGACTTGAAGATAATCCTTTTAAAATTGTAGTCTATGTAATATACAATATGTTTATACAAATATTATTCAAATATATTGTCAATATTTTATTGTTAATACATTTTTTGATCTAACGGTGCAATTAGTGTCGTTACTCCATTCAGGATCACACCTTTGCCACGAAAGCTCTGATTGAAATGAATGTGCGATAAAATAAAGTGTATATGACATCACCTAAATGTCATCAAATTGGATCAATATATAATCAAATGCTAATAAATAATTGAAACACATTATGATACACCACTTACCACATTATAATAAATACAAATAACTAACGATACGACTATCATAGCAACTCCTATACCTTTGGCTATAGGAGTGCACCTCCATATAGATAATGGACCGGTACCACCAAATTGACCTAATGCTAACTCCAGAAAATATATAGGTTTGCCGACTAATGCTAGCATTATCAGGTAAGGTATGAGAAATGCTCCGCCACCTAATCAAACATATATTGATTAATTTAATTTTTACAATAATAATGTTTACAATAATTAAACTAATCATTTATTACCATTTTCATATGCCAAATAAGGAAATCTTAATAAAACATTTAAAAATTAACTTTTAATGAAAAATTTGATCAAAAGTTTTAAAAAATATTATAAAAAGTGAGAATATTATATAAATGATTCTTGAATTAAAATTTTATTCTTAAAAAAATGTTATTAAATTTAGTGAAATCACATGATATTAATCAATGATTTATAATTATATTTAACTGAAATAGTCTCTCAAGTATTTGTCATCAGTTTTTTTTTAAATATAAATTTTATATTATCTAATATTATACTTTTTAGAAAGTTTTGTTTTTTTATTTAATCTGAATTTATTAGTTTATTAATACCTCCAAACATTTCCAATTCCGACACTAAGTCCGACACAACTGAAAAAAAATTCTTAAAAAAAATAATTTTCAAAATAATTTTTAATTAAATTAAACAAAATATATTTGACAAAACAGACCCCATTTGTTATCCCAACCGTCTCTTGACTTTATCGTTGTCTCACATCTTATGTTAGTCTGTTGTATGGAAGCTCTGGAGCGACAGTTCCTCTCAAATGATGATTCAATTGACATACTTTTGTCGTTACTTTATTTTTTTACATATGATATATAAAATTATATATTATTTAATAACACAATAATATTTATAGTAATAATATTATAACTTTACATTAATTATGAAATTGAAATATCCTATAATTTTATGACTTAAATATAATTAATTATTAATTTTAAAAATATTTAACAATTAATAATTACTTTATTATTAAATTGTAAAACTTTCAATAATATAAAATCAAATTATAAATCAAAAGAAATTAATAATAAAGTTTTAAAATTGTTGAATCACTTTTGTAAGAATTATAATTCAAAAARTATTTTGAAAATAATTATTTTAACAAAAATAATAATTCAATTTATAAATCATCAATTAAATGAAGTCTATAAGCCTTTGTGTTGTTTGTATATTTCAAAGTGTAAATTAAAATTATTTTATAATATTGTATATTTCAATGATATGTATCATTTGTAATTCAATGTTTAATGAGACATATATTACACTATATTGTATTGTATTATATGTATAAATAAGTGTTTTTCATGTTATATTAGATTTGCTAATTGTGTGCAAATTATTTTTATTACAATATTTATAAATACTGTAAGTATAGTTGTTGTGTATAACAATTAAATATAACTTAATTATACATTACTTTTAAATAACATTAAAAAAAATATTATTTCTAAATTAAGGCATCAATGATCTTAATATAATAATATTATTGARGAATKTACTGATTAACATAATTGCTGATTATTAAATTGATATATACGGTATTATTAATTTAGTTATAAAATATAAATTATAATAAATATTTAATTAATTTTATTAATAATCTTACAGTACAATTGTTATAATAAATTTTTAGTGACATTTAATATTTAATATAATATTACGTTTTTAAAATTAATTAAATATAGTTGTAATAAAATTATATTAATATAATGAATAAATAAATAATACTATTTAATATATAGTATTAATTTTTAACTAATGTCAAGTACTGTATATTGTTTTTATTACATTCACTATAATTAAATTAAATATTTATTCATACTATAATATTAATATACTAAATTTTAAATATAGTAAAATTCACAATTTGTTTTATATATAAAAAATTATTCAAAAATGTGTAATAGAATTATAATAAAATTAATTAAATGTTTTATTTTCAATAGACTATTGGATTAAAAAATTATAAGTTTATTTAAAACTGTGTTAAATTTGTTTCAAAAATTTTAATAATTTAATTATTCAATGGAATATTTTATCATTATTTTTAGAGTTTCAAATAAAATATAAATTTTGTCACTAAAATAAATACATAAATAGTAAAATATTTATTCAAATGTTCGCTATTAGTCTGTTTTATTTTTAGTTTAATTTTCTTAATTAATTATTTACGAAATTCATGTTTAAATTTTAAAATTAAAACAAACTAGATAAGTTCAATTTTCAATATCATAAATTAAATGTATTTATATACTAATGTTTTTATTTATTGTATTAAATTATATAAAATTCACACTTCAGGAGCATTTGAATGTTGATAATAACAATATTGTTAGGCAACTATTCTCGCTTTAGATAATGAGACCAAATAAGTAAATTAATTTAATTTTCATAAAATATGTTAATATTCATTTTTTTAATTTATAATTGATAATAAAAATTACATGAGTATTTAAATTTTTTTATGTAATTTTTATTTCATAATATAATTTAATATAAAGTTTATGGGCTTATTTCGGCTTATCAGCTATTATTTAATATAATGTTTTATTTGTTTTCAACTTTAACTCATTCATTCAAAATTATTCAAATGTGTATGAAGTCTGATAAAATTACATTATAGCATATTGTATAAACAGTAAATTATCTTATCATTTAAAGCAACATTAATTGATGATAAACTCACGATTTAACTAAAGTTACAATTAAAAAATAYATATAATATTTAAAATACAATTTACTTTAATAAAAAATGAAAACTAAATTTATTAATAAAGTTTGTGTTGTTTGCGGTGATAAATCTCGAGGTATTTAATAAATAATTTTTCATTAATATTATATCAATAATTAATTAATTAATTTGTTAAACAAAAAAAGGTAACAATTTTAATGTCATTACATGTGAGTCGTGTCGCACTTTCTTTAGACGATTGATACTTAAAAAACAGGTAATATCTAAACTAAATATATATCAATAATAACTTATTATACAATATGTGTTATAAAAATCGTTTAAAATACTAATAATTATAATTATGTAAATTTATTTTTCTATTCAATATTAGAGATATAAATGCAAATTTAGTGGAAATTGTGAAATAAGTTTAAAAACTAGAATTATTTGCAAATTATGCCGTTTTAACAAATGTCTGGCAATGGGAATGAAAAAAGTATTTAATTATTAATAATATTTTGTTATAATAACAATAATTAATATTATTATGTTTTTCTAATGTTTATATCAGGAATTATTACAAACTAATGAACAGAAAGAAAGTAGAAAACAATTGATTGAAAAAAATCGACAAAAAAGACAACAAAAAGTTCTAAACAATAAAATCAAAGATATTTTGTCGATTCGTAGTACAGATACTAATACTATAAGAGATAATTCACAGAATAATAACTTTCAATTGGATATAACTGATGACAATAACATAAAATCACATCAAAATATGACATCAATTTGTTTGCAAAGACCGATACAGTACTCAATTAATTTCAATCAATTAGAAGACATACATATATCAGAGCTGATGATGGCTACAGAAGTGATAGTTTGCAATTCCGGTAAATTGTTGATTGATATCAACTCTAGGGATCAATTGAGGAGTAATTGTAGTGATATTTATGAAAACAAAATGATAGAAATCGTAAAGTTTTCTAAACAATTGCAAAGATTCAAACATATCTGTAGTGAAGATCAGTTGGTATTAGTCAAGTGGGCGTGTGTTGAGCTATTTATTATCAGATATTTGCGATATTTTAATAGTTTTAATGGTAGAGTTGGCTATTATTTTGTAAGTATTAAGAATTTAATTATTACAAATTACATAAAAACTAACTAATTTTTAATTTATCAAAATTTAAATTTAGGACAATAATCATACACTAAATATTGATGTGGAGACAGTATTTCATATACCAAAATCAAATTATACGACTTTATTCAAAAAATTTGCCAACAAATATAATAATTTAGTTATCTCTGAATTGGATACAATTACTATCAATTTGGTAATATTAAAGTTGTAATAAATTATAATAATTTATTAATTTATATAATTTTTTTTAAAAACAAGTTATCAGCGATAGTCCTGTTTAATCCTAACCGTCAAAACTTATGCCATAAATTGAATGTTAAGTAAGTTTATAAAAATTTATTATAAATAATGAAATATTATAGTATACTGTATTGCATACAAAATTTGTATTACAAATACACTTAAAAATTGTTTTTATTTTATCAATTATTAGACTCGAACAACAACTTTATATATATTTATTAAAACGATATTTAAAAATAAAATATAATAAATCACAAGACGACCACTCATTACAGCAAAAGTTTTCACATTTAATGAATATTGTCTATGAATTACAATCATTGGGCAAACTTATGGTACAATCATTTGTACAACAATTTAGTTTATATCAACAATATATAAAACCAATGACCAGAGAGATCTATAATTTGAAATAAATATTTTTATAAATAAAAATTACATTTTATTTTTTACAAATAACTAATACATTATTTAGTGAATTAACTTGATTCAAGCATTTTTAATTACTAAATGTTTAATAGATTTATTATTGTAATTAAAAATCATTAATTTTAATTTATAGTTTAAGTTCAAAAATCATTTATAGCTTTATAAATTACAATGTATTAAAATTTATATAATACATTAATTATTTTATTTATAATAACTTTATTAAAATAGTAAATATTTATGTTTTCTAAAATGTCATTATAATCAAATATTTTTAAAAACATATAATTTCAATATATATTAATATTATTTAGTCAAATACAGTATTATAAAAAACAACTATATTATAGTTACTATAACCGGATGTAAGACTCAATTTGCGCCAATAAACATATTTTAAATAATATACACAAAAACTAAACCATTGATTGAGTTTTGATTTTTTTTTACAAAAAAGATGCCGATTTGATTGCCAGATGATAAATAAAAAAGAGAGGACTTATATAATATATTTTATATAATAATTAAAAAAACAATAATATTAACATTTGCATACTATTGTTTAATAAAATGTATTTTTAATATTAATTATTATTTAGATTTATTTGATTATTATCACTGTTGTTATCATTATCTGAGTTGTGATGAGTTTCATCGCTTTCATCGTATAAATGTTTGATTCGTGAGGACATCAATACTACCGCCACATCAAACAGTGATCCCAATATAATGAACGCAAGGGTCACACCAAACAACCGTTTTCTGAATTTGTCGGTATCATAGACCATACAATTGCCTGTTTTACCGCATTTTGTTTTCCATATTAAACACGTGCTGTTTATGATAGCCCCGTAAATCAGTGGTCCCGGTATTGAGGCTTTACAATAATAATTTAATAGATAATAATTAATAATTTTATATAAATTATTTACTAAATAATAGTAATATTTAAGTTTTTTATATAACTTACTAAATAAACTAAATAATGCACCGTAAATACCAATCGCAAAGTGCTTATCCGTTTCATCGATAACACTACACATTATAATACAATATGTAGTTTTAAAAAATATTTATCAGTATTCAGTTTTAAATCAATATTTTAATTCATTTAATAAATATATTCTAAAATTTATCAATTAATTTTAGAATATATTAAAATATCTAATTTTAAAATATAGTAATTTATAATAAATTAATTTTTTTAAAAATCTAAATTAAAAATGTAATGAAGTAAATACCGCAATGATATGAATACATTACCCACACGTGCCAACTGTCCAATCAAACCACCTATAGATGAGATTATAATTTGTGTCCGAAAATTATTACCACAATCTATATCACATAAACCATCATTTGCTACACCACTTACACATTCACAATCAATATACTTCTGTTTAAAATTTTAAAAAGTCAATTATTATTAATTCAAAATTTAAATGATTTTTTTATAGATATTACAATTATTGTGTCATTAAATTTCATAGGTGTCTGTATTGGACATCCGGCTAAACACGGAGACAGATAGTTAGTATTGCTATTGGGATCACATAATGGTTGAAATTTATCGGGTGAACAGGTACAGTTTGCATCACATGCTTGATTGAAATTGCTATAAAAATTAATTAATTAATATGCGGTGTAATTAATTAATTAATTTTTTTGTTGTTGAAAAATTCTTATACATTGTATTCTAGTATATATTAATTTTACTTAAATTGATTGTCTGGCAAATTAGCAAAATCAAGTCGAGGACATCCCAGTGCAAGTCCAGAGAACAGACCCATTGTACTCAACAGTTCGACAATAAAGACAAATGATGTCAATAGACGAGGACCCGGTTTTACCACTGATATGAATGCACCCCCTAATAATATTCCCGCAGCTATGGGTAATAAACTTATCATACCTTTTTGTTTGTCATCAATTTTTTTAGTAAAAAATTAAAATGAAATAAATGTGAATATTAATAAAAAAAAAGTTTTTACATTTAATAATTAAATATTCAATAAATCCTAATTACCAGATAATAGATTAGCCGTTGAGGCCGATGTCCTGTACTGTGATTCAACGTATTTGCTACTGAATGTCCAGTAACCCATCCAACCAAACATCTGAAATATTGTGCCAAATATATAGCACATGAATATTGGATTTGTAAATATTTTAAGTAACCGCTCTTTTAGTGCTAAAATTTTGTTGTTGTCGTTGTTGATAAAATAAAAATTACATAAAATTATATAAAAAATATAATAATAATTAATATTTAAATAATATGATATAATTATTAATAATATCATATTTTTACATAAATCAATATGTTTTGGTTTTACAAGTTGTCTATTATTTCTAGAATTTTGATTTTTTGATGATTTTTGAAAATCTGGCGGAAAAAATAACATGGGTAGACCAGATAATATTAGACAAGTTCCCAGTATTAATTGACCCAACCACCATGCACCCACCCAACGTGGATCACGTAAATCAGTTATACCTGGATCAACTAGTCATTTAAATAATATTAATAAAATATTTATCTTACTTTAAATTATAAGTAATTATTTTTTTTAAAAAATTATATGACATACCAAATGGATTTTCATAGTATCTCAACACAACTGATGATAATAATGATGCAAATGCTGGGCCAATGATTCGGTTACACATTGATAGACCTAATAAAAACAATATATTTTTTATGTTATTAATAAGATTTATCACAAGATTACACGATGTTTACTAAATAAATAAAATTAATTAAAAATATATATATACAGTATATTGAATATATATACTGTACAAAAACTATACGGTATAGCTCTGGTATATAAACATATAAATTAATAATAATACAGAACTGAGAACAAAGGGTGAATTTTTCTTTTTGACGATATCATCAATAAATGGTAATCCAATGATATAATAGGCTGACGTTCCTAAACGGGACAGGAAAGTGGACACAAACAGGAACAGCACTGGTATTACAACGTTGTGTTGTGTGGTCGACGGCAACACATTTGATGCTTGACAGTCATCAATTTGGTCGGCCAGTGGGTTGACCTCACAAAAGTCGACTGCACTTTTGTTCGTATTATTTGTTGTCAAAATATTATTTGATTGATGATCTGGCGGTCCATAAATCAAGTACAGCGATGCGGCCACATAGCAGCCAATTCCCGACAATACTTGTCCTAGAAATAACATACGTGGCCGATGTAAACGGTGAGCTATATAACCGATGAACGGCTCAAATATTAGTACAGATATGTCATCGCCGATGAGTACTAAACCCATTAATACACTGCCAATCGCATACCGGCGCTCTAGAGTGGTCAGTGAAGATATCATATAAGAGTAGGGGCCCTGAAAGCTACCCATTATTAGCAAACAAACAATAAATGATTTTGTATTGGCCCAACTTTGCACACATTTTGGACGACATGAACCCACACCACACCCGCCGTCCACAATATTCAGTGATTCAACGCTTGAATAAATAGCCATAACTTATATAAATTAAAAATATAATAAAAATCAGAATAAGTTGTTTTAAAAATTTTTTATTTACAATTTATATAAAGATTTATAAAATTTCTGTTTATATTTCTATATAATTTAGTGGACAAATAGTATCACTGTTTCATACATTTATTTATCACTTACAGATATTTTTTATTTTATTTTTAATTTTAAGTAATAATTTATAAATAGTTTAGACTAATAGAGTAATCAAGTTGTAAGAAATAATATAAATAATAATAGATTATGACATTGATTTTTATCTGCTTTATTGATAAATTGCATTAATAAATACCATATGTTAATACTGTATATTAATATACTGTATTATATATTATATTAGCAATGTATTAATATATACAGTATATTAATTAAGACAATTTAAATGTAAATACAATTATAATTTGATTACACATTAAATGATTATACTTTTCATAATAATAATAATAATAATAATAATTTATACTTTCGGTATGTTTAGGGTATTTTGATATAATTATAATCTTTATTTAGCAATTTCTAATAAATTTAATAAAAATATTAAAAATTATATTATTAATTATCCAGTGATCTTTAAGTATTAACTAATTATACATTAAATAAAATATTAATTGAAGTTTAGTGAGTAATTATCAATATAACTATATACTGTAGTACATTACATAACATTTTTTCATCACTTATCAATATTACAATCATACATAAGTACAATTGAATAATTTTGAATGAATGAGTTAAAGTTGAAAACAAATAAAACAATATATTAAATAATAGCTGATAAGCCGAAAAAAACCAATAACTTTATATTAAATTATATTATTAAATAAAAATTACATAAAAAAATTTAAATACTCATGTAATTTTTATTATCAATTATGAATAAAAAAATGAATATTAATGTAATTTATGAAAATTTAATTAATTTATTTATTTGGTCTCATTATCTAAAGTAGAGACTGAAAACTGACCTGATTTTTCAGGTCAGGTCAGGTCAGGTAAAAGTTAGGGCTCAGGTCAGGTCAGGTACGGGTCCGAACACCAAAATTTTTTGGTCAGGTCAGGTCAGGTCCGAAATTTTTTTATTCATTATTTAAACGACAATTATTACAAAATATGACAATCAAACACAAAATTTATTAAATTATTATTTATAAAATAGTTGTATAAATTAAACATAAAATATTACAAAAGATGATGGTTTTGATCTAATAAATAATAACATATTAACTTTATTAGAATCTAAGTTAGATCTACAATCAGTTATCGTTAATCCCGAGTAATTAAAGTTAATTTAGAGAAATTTGTTGCGGGTATAGAATAAATAAAATTGTTTTTTGATAAAATTATTTTCGGACCTACATAGTCAGGTCAGGTCAGGTCAGGTAAATTTGTACCCTATGTTAGGTCAGGTCCGAGTCCGAGATTTTAGGTATCAGATCAGGTACGGGTCAGGTACGGGTCCGAAACTTTTCGCTCTCTAGTCTAAAGCGATAATAGTTGCCTAACAATATTGTTATTATCAACATTCAAATGCTCCTGATGTGTAATTACAATAATAATTGATTTAATAATTTGAGTATTCAATATCTAAAATTATTTTATATGAATAATTTATAATTTATAAGTACTATTGCTTTAATTATTATGAAAAGTTAGTGATTATTAATTAAAAATATTTATTCATTTATTAATTGTTTATTGAAATATTTAGTATAAGACATTTGCTATAATTATTATTGTATTTTTAAGTTTAAAATGTTAACTATTACTGTATTTGTTATACAGTATTATTATATTCAGTATTTGAAAATATGTAAAAAGTTTACAGTAAAACTAATAATTTTATTTAATAAGTTTATTACTATTATTAGTATTAAGCAATAAACTAGAGTTGACACAAATTTCATCACTCATTTTATTAATGTTTTTTTTTAAATATTTTAATATATTCCCAATTTTTCTGGAAATTTGCTTTTAATAATATTGTTTCCTAAACTCTACTATTCATAGAAAAAATCAATAGAAAAAAACAAACTTTTAATCATATGATTAATATTATGTGAAAAAAGTTCATTAAATGACTATTAGTTTAAATATATATTATATATATATTTAAATATTAAATATTTTATTATTTATTCACAAATAATATAATACTTTATATTATATATGATATGATATATGAATTGAATTATTGAAGACATGTGTCCACAAAATGGTCAGAACAGCCGTCGACAGCAATTCGATCGCTTCGGTGACGATTTGGTCGATCTGTTGATGACTTCAATGAAATTATCACTAAAAGACAGATTAATACTCAGATCTGTTTGCAAACAATTCAAACGATTGATATTCAATTCGTGTCACTTCTTGGAAATTATTTATCAAAAAGAAGATAAATTTGTGACAATTGAGTCATTGATTGTATCAAATGACAGATTGAAGAGATTGTTGAACATCACTGACAACATAACCAATATATGTCTTAAACCGCGTGGTCTCGACATCGACGGCGGCATAATTGAGACAATACTGAAAAACTGTCAACGATTGACATCACTGGACATTAGTCTCAGTGAATTGAGTCGACAAATGTGTCGTCAATTAGCGGACAAATTTGGTGGACAACTGAAGAAAATCGATCTTCAGATTAAATTATTTGGTTTTAAAGGCTTTTTAAATTGGTATCCATATATCAAATCAATGGATTTATCAAACATTGACGATATGTGCGGCATATTTGATGGCAATAACAAGCTATTAGTGACCAAACTATCAAAGGTTGCCATAAATTACTCGACTAATGATAACAACAGAATCGGCGAATTTGTCGATAAATTATGGAAATCATTGACTGATATCCGGATTAATATTGAAAATCGGTTTGAATTGAAAACTGAAGAATTGAATGAATTGTTCGAAGAATTACCAAAACTACGAAATCTCAAGAAATTTGAATTGACTTTTCGTTTAATTGATCCGCAAATTACTTACCAATTCTTTGTCTGTTTGGAACAAATGGCTGCCAATTGTCATCAACTCAAGAGTCTGACACTTAATATTCACAATAATTTCTTTGCAATTAATCGCAATATATTTAAAACAATGAAACGGTTTCGACATTTGAGACGACTATCACTTGATCTACATTTGGACGCTTATGTCGCCGAACAATCATTTTCGGCAATACATGAGTCATACTATCAGAGCCGTGAATTACAATCACTTAAATCATTAACACATTTAACAGTGACTGCGACTGACTGTCATTTAAGCGATGAATACTTTTATAAAAAACTGTACAAATATTTACCACAACTTCAAGTGATAAGTTGTGGACAATCGGATGTCACTGAAAACACATTGAGATCATTGTATCGATTGTCAGACTTGCGAACAGTAGATATCGAGACAACAGAATCCGGGCTTTCGATCTCAAGACACGTTGTCATGGATTTGATCCGAAACTGTCGCAAACTTCAGTCAATTAATGCACAAAATATTAACATCGATATCGACGTTAAAGACAAAGTGATTAACCAATTGAGAGAAAATAATTATTGTGAAAATATTGAAGTAATTTATATAAAAATTCACAATGAAGTTGATCTACAAGAAATGCTTTACGATGATGTCGTCCATCCTATGGATAATGGAAACTATTTTGGAGATGAAGAACAATACTATAGCGATGACGAGGAATTTTAGACAGAAATTTAGGAAATTATTTTCATTATTATTATTATTATTAATACTAATGTATGACAATAACAACAATTAACTGTAGCTTTTGATGAAAGCATTTAAAATATAGATTATATTTAATATAATTATAAAATAAAATTTGATTTCGACAAACACCCAAAACTTGAGATTTTATTTTTTTTAATTTAAATAAATTCAATGACTAGAGGTTTGATTAATTATTATCATTATTATGATTATGACTGTTATTCTCGTTATTGTCTGTTTCGTCGTCGTTATCATTGTCTTCGTATATATTTTTTATACGCGAAGACATGAATATGACTAACACGTCAAACATTGAGCCAATCATTACAAAGACAAGTGAGACACCAAACAATCTGTTTTTGAATTTGTCGGTATCGTAGACCAGACAGTTGCCGGTTTGGCCGCACTTTTTCTCCCATACCTTACACGCACTGTTAGTAATGGCACCGTAAACCAATGGTCCCGGAATCCATGCTTTTAATATATGGATATTTTTTTAATTAATTTATAAGTTTAATCATTATTTAATATGGTATCACCAATATTATCTATTAACACTATTGTTAATATTGTTTAATAATACAATACATACCAAATATAGCATATAATGCACCCAATACTCCAAATGCAAAATGCTTTTCTGAATCGTCGACAACACTAATTAAAACACATATTGTATTAGTTAATGAAATGTTTAAAAAATTATTTCTATTTTAATTATTAATATTATTAGTAATATTAGTTATAAATTGCAGTCAATTAGCGATTAAAAAATTATTACCGAAATGCTATGAAAAGATTGCCCACTCGTGACAATTGTCCGATTAAACTACAGATACCTATAATTATAACAAATGTACGAAAATTATTTCCACAATCTATATCACAGTAGCCCTCATTTGCCAAACCGCTAACACAATTACAATCCATATATTGCTATATTTAAGTACAAATGTATTACAATTGATTAAATGATTTTATAGTAAAATAAAATAATAATAATAATATTAGTGTTTAATTACATTTTTACTGCCATTGATCATAATTGATGTCTGCATTGGACATCCGGCCAAACATGGGGTCATATAGTTAGTTAGACTATTAGGATCACATATTGGTTGAAATTTGTCCATTGAACAGGTACAATTTGCATTACATGCTAGATTGAAATTGCTTTAAATATCATATACAATAAGTTTTATCTAATTAGTAAAATAAAATTTATTATTTATTTTACTATACTTTGTTTGGTCAGGTAGATTGGCAAAGTTCAATGGCGGACATCCCAGTGCTAGTGCAGAAAACAGACCCATTGTACTCAACAGTTCCACAATAGTTATAAATGATGTCAATAGTCGGGGACCGGGTTTTAGAAACGATATGAATGCACCGCCCATTAACATACCTATTGCTGAGGGAACCAAACCTATCATACCTGTAATTTAGATAAAATAAATTTCAATGTTTTATATTTATAATAAATATCTATAATAATAAATAATATTAATTTCAATTAATACAATTTAATTACCAGTAAATAGATTAGCAGTTGAAGCGGACTTCCTATACTGTGATTCAATGTATTTGCCCTTAAAATTCCAATACCCGGCCCAACCAAACATCTGAAATATCGACCCAAATGTATAGCACATGAATATTGGATTTGTAAATAACTTTTTCAGACGTTGTTTAAGAGCTAGAAATAAATAATAAATATATATTTTTTTAATAATTAAATATTAAACTACTTGTATCTATACTTATAAAACCCAAATATAAGTTTAATTTATGGAATGAAAACTAAATTACTTGCATTTCATTATGGTTTTGATATAAATGTATTGCCACTTATTTACTTATAAAACTTAGTTAACAATTTAATTTATAAAATCAAAATAAATTACCGTACATTGATTTGCTTGTGGTTTTGTTGTTAATTTGTTGCCATTTGTTGCTTTATTTTTTGATATTTTCAAGTCGGATGGAAAAAATAGCATAGGTAAACATGACAAATATAAGCATACACCAATTATTGCAAATCCTAACCACCAGGCGCCCACCCAACGAGGATCGCGCAAATCAGTGATACCCGGGTCAACTAATAATTAAATTATTATAATAAATAAAAACATAAGATTAGTTTTACAATAGATTAAATTGAATTCAATATTATACCCACCAAATGGATTTTCATAATATCTCAATACAATGGATGAAACAAATGCTGCAAATGCTGGACCAACAATCCGGGAACAAACCATTATACCTATTATTATATATATATATATATATATATATATATTATATAATAAAACATAATTTAAATGTAACAGTATATATTAATATATAATCAATAAATATAGTTACTGTACTCATAATAAAAGGAGATCTTTTTTTCTTAACACTGTCGTCAATGAACGGCATTCCCACTACATAATAGGCCGATGATCCCAATCCCGATAGGAATGTCGATACAAATAGAAAGAGCACCGGTATTATAACGTTTATACGGTTAGCGTTTGTTGTTTGGCATTCATTCTCTGATATATTATTATTTTTATTATCATCGATATTACAAAATTCAGTGACCATACTATGGTTGACACTATTTGCTTGTCTAGTATTTGCAGTACTTAAGTGCTCCGGTGGTCCATATATGAAATATAATGAAGAGGCCAAAAAACAGCCGGTGCCCGACAAAATTTGCGCCAATGCTAACATACGTGGCCGATGCATGCGGTTCGCCAAATAGCCGATAATGGGCTCAAATATCATGGCCGAGATATCGTCGCCGATTAGTATAAATCCCATTAAAAGACTGCCAAATGAATAGCGTCTCTCTAGAGTGGTCAGGGATGCACTCATATACATATATGGCGCACCCTGGATAATACCCATTAGTGTTATACTTGCAACAAATGATGTAACATTGGCCAATGGTTGGTTACTCTTTGGACTGCATGAGCCCAAACCACATTTGCGGGGATGCAATGATTCAACACTTGAATAGATTGCCATTTATTTTTAAAAAATTAATTGTTATTAAAATTTTAGATCAAATAAAAATATGTATTTATGCTATTATTATAATAATAATAATTAAATTTTCATATTAACTTTAGTATATTGTAATAAATATTTCAATAAATAAGTTTTCAAACTTTTTGCTATCATATTTTTAATATTTATATCTTATAATTTTTTTAAAAATTTATTAAATATGACTTTGATTTTTAATTGACAGTTATCGATAAAACAGTCTAATATAAATATTTTTTTAAAATATTAATATAGCACATGTTTTAAACTATTCAAATACTAGTTATTAAAAAGTTTATATTAGTTAATTAATTTATGGCTATATTATTAGTTATTTTCAATATATTAAATACTTTTTATAAATAATATGTCACAGTATTATATAAAACTAATTATTATTAAAATTTAGATCAAAGAAATTTTTTATCTAGATTATTATAGTAAGTACAGTAAATTTTAATATCATATTTTTTAGTATTTTTGATAAATTACAATTATTAAAAAAATTTTTTTCCTATAATTGCAAAATAATCATATGATAATCTATGAGTTAATTTTTTTTATCAACTTCATAATATTGCAATAAATATTGCAATAAATACGCTTTTAAACTTTTTGATTATTTTTTAAATAAAATAATATTTATCAAATATGATTTTGATTTTATGTTCACAGTAAATAATAAATAATAAAATAACTAAAATAAATAAAATTAAATAATAATAATATTATAATATAATATAGCGTATATACTCAAACTATTCAAATACTAAATATTATTTTTAGTAAACAACTAACCTATAATTAATTTAATAGTAAGTTTCAATATATAATATATATATATATTCAATACCGGTATACAATATATTAATACATTATATTGATAAATAATATTTATAAATATTTATACAGTATTTATTGTTTATTGTAAGTGTAGAATACATTATTATATAAAATTTTATATACAATAACGTAAATAAAGAAAAATATTTCATAATTTGTTAATCTATACATTAATCCTTGACTTTATTTTGTAATAATTTAGTTTAAATAAAAAATATATTTATTAGTTAAGTATTTTTATAATTAAAATCGATTGCATTTATTTTATCTATTTTATAGAAATTTTACTTATGTTTACAATAAATAAAAGTTTTTAATAGTTTAAAACAAACAAACAAAATTAATATCAACATAAAACTTTTATAATACAGACAAAAATAATTATTTAAACTACTATTTTTTAAAAAATTATATATTATTTTTTATTATTATTGCTATTTTCATCGCTTTCGGTATCAATGTCTTCATCTTCGACATACAGGTGTTTGATTCGTGAGGACAGGAATACGACGGCTAAGTCTAAGACAGAGCCAACAAATATGAGACCAATGGACATACCGAGCAATCGTTTCCTGAATTTGTCGGTATCATAGACCAGACAATTGCCTGTTTTACCGCATTTTTGCTCCCATACCATACATGCAGTGTTGGTTACTGCACCGTAAACCAGTGGATACGGTATCCATGCTATTAAATGATTTATAGATGAACAAAATAATTCAATACACTATTTGATAAATGCATTTAAAATGATAATTAATAAAATAATAATAAAATATTTACTAAATAAGCTAAATAAAGCAGTGGCAAAACCAACAGCAAATGTTTTTTCACTTGGTGCAACAATTCTATATATTAAAACAAAATTAATTATCATGTTAATTTTTTAAAATAATGTATACTAAATAATTAATTTTATTATCTATTATCTCTAAAAATATATTTAACCTTAATGATACAAATGTATTGCCAATACGTGTCAACTGTCCAATTATGCCGGCTATGGTACTCATTGTGACATATATTTCAAAATTGTTGCCACAATGAGCATCACAGTAGCCCTCAGTGGCCGCACCGTTGACACAATTGCAGTCCATATATAGCTATAAAATAAAATTATGTATTTTATTTGGTAAAAAATACATACATTTTTGCCATCGCTTGACTTTAATGGTGTCTGTGCGGGACAACCAGCAAAACAGGGCGAAAAATATGTGGTATAGTTATCGGGTCCACAAAGAGGCCGAAAATTTTGCGACGGACACAAACAGTTTTCATTACATGATCCTGGTAAACGACTTTACAAATATATACACAAAATACATACATTATTAATAATTATTATTATGAATAATTACTTATTAGCACTGGTAGGTAGTGCATCAAACTGTGTGTTGGGACAGCCTAAAAATAGTCCTGAAAATAGACCCATTGTGCTTAAAAGTTCAATAACAAATATAAACATTGTCAATAGGCGGGCACCCGGTTTGAGGAACGTTATGAATGCACCTCCTAAAAATATTCCTATTGCTGATGGAATTATACCTACCATACCTATAGTTTTTTTTAAAAAAATATTAATAAAATAATATATTTAATTATACAAAATAAATTTTATAAAATAAATTGTATTTAATAATATAGTAATATATATATAGTCTACTAAATTACCAGATATGAAGTTTGCAGTGGAGGCGGACTTTTTATATTGAGACTCAATGTATTTGCCTTTGAATGTCGAGTAACCAAAAAAGCCAAACATTTGGCACATACTGCCAATCAAATAGCACATATAGATCGGGTTTTTCAACAATAACATCACACGTGTCTTTAAATCTGACATTTGAATTATGAAAAATAAAAATTTCAATCAATAATACCTAAGTAATGATAAATGCAAATTAAATTTTACCCAATTGACTGACAGTTGGTTTAGTTTTTCTACTAATTTTATTGACACTATTGTCGTCAACAGTAGGCTTTTTGTCGGCAATATCAGATGGAAACAGAAACATTGGTACACTGGTAATAAATAGGGCAGTGCCCAGACATACAAAACCAATCCACCAAGCACCCACCCAACGAGGGTCCTTTAAGTCACGGATACCGGTATCAACTATTATGTGTTTTGACGATTACATAAAAAAATAACAATATTTTTTTGTCAATAGTATAGACAATAGTTTTTTTTATTGAAAACTATAATCACTTACTTTTTGGATTCTCGTAGTAACGCAACACAAACGATGACAATAATGTGGCGATCGCTGGACCGCATAGTCGACCACAAGATATGACACCTAATTATATGTTAAATAACTATTAATAATAATATATGTTTGCAGAAAAATATTATCAAAACTTATTTGTTTTGGTAAATAAATTGTAAATAACTACAGTATAAACCAACTTAAATAAATCGGAGAATTTTTTTTCTTAACACTTTCATCAACCAGAGGAACGCCTACGACGTGCCAGAAACAGGAACCGGCGCCTATGAGAAAGGTAGCAAACCATAGACATATTACAGGTATTATCGGACTGTTTTGTAGTCGCCTGTGTTGATCGCAATGGTCCAAACCATTAATGCCAGCATTGCAGTACTCGGCACTTCCGTTTATAGTTGTTGTAGCTAACGAAGCGCCCAATAGATGAGTTCCGGGTCCGTATATAAAATAGGGTACCGCAGCTAACCAACAGCCCAGTCCTGATAGTACTTGTCCGATAGCAATAGCTCGGGGCCGATGAAATCGATGGGCGAAATAGCCGAGAGGAAACCTTACTATAACTCCTGCAACGTCATCGGCTATCAATACGATACCCATTACTAAACTGCTGAACGCATACCGGCGCTCCAATGTGGTCAGGGAAGCTATCACATAACTATATGGGCCGCCCTGTACTACACCCATTATAGTGTACCAGGCGATGAACACTTTAGGTGTGGCTAATTTGGCCAAAAATTTTGGACGCCATGAGCCCACACCACAGGCCCGCGGCTGTAGTGACTCTACACTCGAATAGATTGCCATTTAATTTAAATTGTGTTATAAGATATGTCGTAAAAAAGACATATTAAGGATATATAAAAAAATTTTGTAATCATTTATTTATATTATTATACATTATTTGGGACATCTTTTATTGGTTTATTAATTTTTTATCATATTATTTATCAAATCAATTTAAAATTGAAATGTTTCATTAAATCATTCAATGAGTCCAAAGTGTTGTATATTTATCATATAATATTATTGACAATAATGTAATAAAAATTAATAAGATTTTTAAATATTACAAATTACAAGATAATAAACAGATTTTTATATGACTATCAAAAAATTTGGTATAATATTGTAACACTATTTATGCTACCTCCCAGTGCACCCTATTGGTCCTTTACCTTACATTGTATCACATACTCACACATTATTATATAACTGAGTCCAAGCTCTAGCTCGAGAAGTCACCCAATGTATTGCATAGAGTAAAGACTTGCATACATTTAATACTAGGTTCCGAGTTAGGCCCAACATAATACTTATTGTAATAATTGTGTTTAATATTAATAAACAATTTTAAGTAATAAGTATTTGTGATAATTTAATTACAACTTTGTTCACTGACTCCCACACTCATCGTTCCGGCATTTCCGTCCTTACAATATATAACTTTACATAATTTTATAGCAATAAATTTTTCGGGTTTTTTAATTATGCCTATATAAAACAATAGATGACAGAACATGTCAACATGAAAATTTTTCAATGTATATATTATTATTGATACAGTATAATCAATATACAATATTCTTAAATCTAATATAAACCTAAATCTAACCTAAATTTAAACCTAATTTTAGTAACTAGCGCGCTACCGCGTGCCATCCACTTAACTTAACCCAAACTAACTAAACCTAATATTTAAGTGAATTTACTAGTAATTTATTAGACTGTTTAATACTATTTACTAATAGTCTATATGAATCTTAACTATACTGTATTATGCTAATTTAGCAACATAATCTATTGATGAACCGCATAATTGGTCCCTTTTACAATATGAGTTATACTAACAAAACTGCTTATACGGATTTATATAGTATAATGTAGATCAGCCAATTATTCAGTAATTTACAACTACTGTAATATAATTTAATACTATTTATTACAGTTTATAATCATAGTATATAATCAATTACTATTTAGGATTAATTACAAAAAATAACTTCAATGTATTTAATTATTCAATTATTGTTGTTATTTATCATTTTACAGATGAATTTACATTATTTATTTAAACCAATGATAAAATATATAATTATAATTACTATATAATAATATCATATCAATAATATATAATATCAAATAGTTGTAGTTATTTATTTGGTATAATTATTGTTTCTTTAATAACTAATTACTTCATTGATATTTTAATTAGTATATTATTACTGTAATGTTAAAAATAGTTTTAAAAATAATCAGTTCACGAACTCATGAAAGAGTATGTATCTGAATTCTATATGTCCGTCTGTCCGCATTTGATTGAATTTTGAAATTTTGACTTCAGATTTGGATTAAGCATCAAAAATAAGTTATAGCGGATCAGCAGAAAAATTTTGATATCTCTTCAGGAACATAGATAAAATGGCGGTCAAACTTAAAAAAATGAAAATAAATTTTAAAGTTTAAATTTGAATAAAACATTAAAAATAAGATATAGAGGATTAGTATAAAATTTATTTATATTTTTGGAATATTTATCAAATTTAATGTTTAATTCTTAGACTTTGTATTAGATTTGGTTTATTTTATACAGAATTATTTGATACACCACATGATTAACGTTTAGTTTATTTTGTTATGCTGAATTAATTGATACCACACATGACTATAGTTGAGTTTATTTTGTCATACTAATTTAACTGTAGTCATAGTGATTTAACTTAATTTTTAATTTTTTACTTTAGATGATATAAATTTTTGGAATTAAATTATTTATAATTATATTTTATAAAAAATATTAATACACTAATATAAACAGTATGATTACAATTTAATTAGTTTCTAGCGTTTTATTTATAAATTATATTTATATATATATATATATATATATATAATAGTAAATGTAATTTTATTTTATTTTGATAAACTATTACATGAATCAATAATTATAATTATTAAATTAAAAAATTAACTATAAGTGGGTAGTAGTTTATTTTGAAAAATATTATGTATTTTCAAAACATGTATCTAATATACAATAATTATATTTGAATATTATTATTAAAAGTCTTTGTTTTATATTGAGTAAATTATTTATATATTAATAATAATTTAATAAATATTAWTTTAAAATTAAGTTGTTTATAGATTAATAATTTATATTTCAATTGTATTTTAACATTTATATCTTATATTATAAATTAATATATCATATTTGTTATAAATTTATAAACGTAATAATTACTTATATTTTTGATGTAAATTATAATATTTACTATTTATTTATAGATAAAAATGTTTAGTACTGACAATTATACTGATATACGACCGGCCATTGAAAGCTGTGAATCAATTCTAAACCGATTTTATTTAATATTATATGAAAACTTAGATAACTATATTAGTAGACAACTAAATAAAATGCGATTAATTATAGTATTGATAACACAATTAATAGCATTGATATTTAGTCTAAAATTTGCCGCAACAGCTATTGTCAATCAAGTATTTAAATTATTTTATTTTTGTTAATAGTTTTTTTATAAATAAGTTTTTATTATTTTTATTTTCAAACCCCCACCCCCTCTCTTACTCATCTAATTAAGCAATGGATATGTGACCTATTGGGTGATCCGACCTATACGTTAGCCAATCATACATTAGCGTCGTTAGCCTTTTCATTGGGCAGTTTGGCCGTATTTATTACATGTTGTTTAAACAATTATTATGAATGGACACACCGATGGTATTTAGTGGACATTATTGTTAAAATCAAATACAAAATGTTTGAATATCCACTAAAACAGTCATCAATGAAACAGTTTGCATTGATGGGCAACTTATTGCTAATTGTTATAAAAAAATTAATTTGGATAACATCTATAATATCAATTAGTTTCTTATTATATGCCTACTATTTAGCACTGGTAACTGATTTTCATACCTACTCAACCAATTGGTGGTGGTGGTGGTGGTTGGTTAGATTTATTATAGCTAATTTCATACATTGTATAACAATAATAAGAGCCTATGCCGGAGGATTTACATGTTTTGCTATTTGGTTAGGTTTTGTCCGGTTTAGTCGTTTTAAATATAATGAATTAAACGATAAAATTTCAAATTTTATTTTTAAATCAAACAAATGGCATAAAATATATCCGCGACGTCTAATCAAATTAATTATAACACACAATGGTTTTACAAAAATTGTTATGAAATTTAATAATTATTTCCGATGTCTGGTATTTATCATATATTTTTTATTAACACCAMTTGTATTGCTTTGTATTTACGGTACATTTCATAGAGAGTCTATACCTATGGCTAAAGTAGTTTTTACTTTTTTAACAATATTTGTTATTTCATTTATACAATTTATTTATATTATGAATACATGGATCAGCCGATCAGCGCATTTACCATTAAATCTATTGTATAGTTATTTAGCTAAACATCAGACACTATCTATACGTTTAAAATTTAAAATACTTATATATATTGAGCGWCTGTCGGGTCCGACAATTGGTATCTATTGTTATGATTTGTTTCCAATTAATAGTTTAGAAGTGTTTCGATACTATTATATTTGCGGTCAATTGTTTTTTATTTTAATAAGATTTATTTAATTTTATAATACATTAATTACTACATCATTATAATAAATAATATAATAATTAAGTTAATTTATTCATATAGTAAAATACATTACAGATTTTTGTAATCAATCATAACTACATGTATATTTAATCAATAATAATTGTATTAAAAATTTTTATAATAATAATTTAATTGTCATCATAATATTATTAATTAAAATTAATATTATACGAGTTTAAAATTGTATTACATTAAAATGTTGTTATTATTTTTGTATTTTAGTTTATAATTTTAAATTGACTTTGTTTTGCCATTTGAATGTACATTATATTTAAGTTTTTTAAAAATAAAACAATTGTTAAATCTTTATAAAATTATATTTATTTTTACTATTAAATATTATACATTAAAGTATAATTATATATTTTATTTATAATTGTAATTTGTTATACAAATATTCATATAAACTGATCATGCTAATAAGTAATAATAATCTGTACTGTTAATTATTTTATCTATTTAAATCTATTATTTTTATGTTTTATTAATAATATGATATTAAAACATAAAAATAATTTTTAAGCTCATAAGTGATAAATAATAATCATAAACACTATTTTATTATAAATTAAAAACTATTTCTCTATTTTCATAATTTTCTTCTATAAAATAAAAATAAAAATATATAATATAATTTTAATATTTATTTAGATTAATTAGTTTATTCAATACAATTATAAATATTGTAATTATAATTGCAATTAATTATTAATAATAATTTATTGTAGAATTTTCAAAGTTATAATGTTCAAAATATAATAAAAAATATTTATTTTTATATATTCACGAACTCCTGAAAGGAGTACATATCTGAATTCTATAAGTTTGTCTGTCGGTCTGTCGGTCTGTCGGTCTGTCGGTCTGTCGGTCTGTCGGTCTGTCGGTCTGTCGGTCTGTCGGTCTGTCGGTCTGTCGGTCTGTCGGTCTGTCGGTCTGTCGGTCTGTCGGTCTGTCGGTCTGTCGGTCTGTCGGTCTGTCGGTCTGTCGGTCTGTCGGTCTGTCGGTCTGTCGGTCTGTCGGTCTGTCGGTCTATCGGTCTGTCGGTCTGTCGGTCTGTCGGTCTGTCGGTCTGTCGGTCTGTCGGTCTGTCGGTCTGTCGGTCTGTCGGTCTGTCGGTCTGTCGGTCTGTCGGTCTGTCGGTCTGTCGGTCTGTCATAAGTAAAATGAATGGATTTATAATTGCAAAGACTAAAAATTGCAAATCAATTGTTTCCAAAAATTTAGCTGTTTTTGTGTTTTTTATAACCTGATTGAAGTGTTTATCATATTTCAAGACTAATCTCCAAATTTATATTTTGATTTAATAATAAAAACAAATAGTTTGCAATCTAAAAATGTTTTGTAAACTATAGTTTAATTTACTTCATTTCATTTGGTATATTATTAATATATTATAATATTATTTAATCTATGATTGACTATAAAGTATTAAAGTTAAAAATAAGTACAGTATATATATGAATATATTAATTAATTCTAAAATGATATTTGTTTATAGATTTTTAAAAAATTAATACTATTTTGTTGTTTGTAGTCATTGTCTACATTATCTTATATTTTCTATATTTGTATTATTATAACCTTTAATGAATTATTAATATTTTACATATATGTAAGTTTTAGTTTATTTATTTTATACATAGTTCATATTAAATTTAAGAAAAAATTAAATTTAATAATATATAAATATTAAATATTCTTTTAGCTTTATATAACTTGTATTATAATATTTAAAAAAAACTTATTTTTAAATATTATTATTATTATTCATATTTGTACTTTATCTAATTAATAAATAAAATATATATATAGATAAATATATAATTTTAATTATATAAATTATTTTAATTATTTATTTTCTAATTTTTTAGTTTTATCACTATTTTGTTGTTCATCTTCTTCTTCATCATCGTATAAATGTTTGATACGCGACGACAATATAATGACAATCAAATCAAATATAAAACCAATGAGTATGAGTCCTACAGTTGTGCCCAACAATCGGTTTTTAAGTTTTTCCGAGTCATAGATCTGACAGTTACCGGTTTGACCACATTTAGTCTCCCATACCATACAAGCGGAATTGGCTATCGCTCCGTAAACCATTGGGTACGGTATGAAAACTAAACCGATTAATCAACAAAAACAAATTGTATTAAATAATATATATTTTATTAGTAAATGWAAAAAACTACAAATTACCAAATAGGCTGTAAAATGTCCCTGAAACTGCCCAGGCAAAACTTTTATCAACAGGGTCAACGATCCTATTATATAATAATATGAATATTTATTTTTTTTTTGAATTCATTCATTAATTTTTTTATTTATTCAATACAATAAGTAAAATCATATTAATTAGAAAATATATTGACAAAATATGGTACTTTGCATACCTGAGTCCAATAAACATGTTGCCAATACTGGCAATCCTACCAATAATATGGGCTACGCTAAATACTGTGAGATAAATTTCAAAATTGCTGCCACAATTGGCATCACAGTAACCATCAGTAGCCTCACCGCCAATACATTCACACCCAGAATATAGCTTCTGTATATATATAAAGTTAATTCATATCAATATATATATATATCTATTTAATATTATAATTATCAACTGTTAAAACTAACTTTTGACGAGTTTGTCATTTTGATCAATGAATCTGATGGACATCCGGCAAAACACGGGGAAAAATAATTGGTATAGTTATCGGGTCCACATATAGGATGAAATGTTTGACCAGTACAGGCACAGTTAGACAAACAACTTGAGTAGTTAGTGTTGCCAATATAATTTATAGTACTAAGCAAATCAAAAAAAATATATATATTATTTTCAATTGGGATTTACCGTATAGTTTTTGAAAGTTACCTGGTTGATCCTGGCAGTGCTGAATACTGTGTTTGTGGGCACCCTAACCACATTGCAGCTAAATAGCCTACTGAACCAAATAGCTCAACAAATGTCACATATGTCGTAAGTACTCCGGGACCGGGAGTCAGAAATGTTATGATCGCTCCGCCGAGTATTATACCGATTACCGACGGTACTATACCCACCAAACCTGTGTATTAATTTGTTGTTAAAAAGTTAATAAATACTGTATATTTATAATTCAAAATTTTTAAAAATCAAAATAATATTAATATTGTTTTATAAATTGCAAACCTGATACTAGATTAGCCATAGAGGCTGACTTTTTATACATTGACTCAATATATTTTCCTTTAAATGTACCAAAACCGGCCACACCAAAAATACGGATACCGCCACCGATGGTTACGCACAAAAATATTGGATTTTTCATTAATCGTAATATCCTTTTGAGGACACCTATGTGTGTGTTTGTGTGAAATGATATTAACTGATTTAAAAATATCTCTAATTTGATATTGTAGTATTTATGGTTTTTTTTAATTAAAAATATTTATACCCATTTCCAAAAGTTGTTTTTCTTTTAATGTTTTAGCTTGCTGTTTTTGTTTAACATTATCATTATGAATTTGTTTTTGTTTATTATTATCCTCATGATTATCATTTGATGTAATATTTTGTGTTTGTAGTTCAGCCGGGAACATGAACATTGGCAAACATGTTATTATAAGCGCAAAACCAATCACAATAAACCCTACCCACCAAGCGCCCACCCAACGGGGATCTTTTAAATCAGTAATACCCGTATCATCTAGATGAGTTATAATAAAATATTATAATATTATAATATACTGTATTATCAGTTTAATACTCAAGGCATACAAAAAGGATTTTCATAGACCAGTAGTACCAGAGATGATAGTAGTTTAGCACTGGCAGGTCCTAACATACGCAATGCTATCAGTAATGCTGTAATCAATATTTAAATTAGTTTTTCGGTTATTTAGTCTCCAACTATATATATATATATATATAATAATAATAAATAAATAATAATAATACAATAATAAATAAATAATAATAATACCAAAATAAATAGGTGATTCCTTTTTTTTGACACTGTCGTCGATAAACGGTATACCAATAATATAGTAGGTAGTACTGCCCAAACCAATAAAGAAAGTGGATAACCATAAAAACAGTACCGGTACAAAAGCAACCTCATTAGTTGCACCGGTACTTCCAACATTGTGATCACATTTGGTACCGTTAATCATGTCATCTAAAGCATCGCAAAACTCTACAACACTGGACTTATTAGTATCACTATTGATTGTGTGCTTTTGGGAAAATCCCGATCCATATACAAAGTACGGTAGTGTTCCGATAAAACATCCCGCAGCCATGATTAGCGTTGCGTAACCTATGAACCGGGGTCTGTGAAGTCGGTGAGCATAATAACCGATAAATGGTCGGAATATAAGACCAGCAAAGTCATCGCCGGTCAAAATAAATCCCATAACCAGACTAGATATGCCGTATCGACGCTCCAATGTGGTCAGGGAGGCAACCATATAGGTATATGGTGCGCCCATAATGATACCCAACAATCCAAATATGAATATAAATACTTTCGGTGTGGCCCACGATTGTACAGATTTTGGACGCCATGAGCCTAAACCACACAAACGGTTATCAGCAAGTGATTCAACACTTGCATAAATAGCCATAATTGTAAATTTTAGTTTTTTAATTTAAATAAATATTGATTAATAGTTATATTATTATTATTTGAAAACAATTTTTGTTAAACATTCTATAATTATATTTATATAATTATATAATTTTTTTCAAATGAAATACTTTTTATTTTGCAGTAAATTTAAATGCTTAGCTTATATGACATATTGACAAATTTGTTTACATTTCATATCATTTAGTATATAATCAATGAACATATATTGAATTAAATTGAAAATTGAATGATACAAATGTATTTACCGATAATGTATCGATGATAATAATTATTTATTATTTTATCTCATTTATTGCACATTTTTATAATATAAATAAATATTGTATTTAATTAGTGTTACTGAATGGTACGACCAAGGACTTTAATTATGTATCACATGTCATATAATTATATGCTAATTGATAAATGATTGATTTTTTTATTTAAAATATTTTTTTATTGTTAAGTGCATTGTTAGCTACTGTTAGTTATTGTTAGGTACACTTATAAAAATAACTTTATTATTTTATATTTACTTTTTTCTCATTTTTTATGAATGAAAATTTAATTGTATATATTACCTACTAAATATAATATAAAATTTTTTATTAATTATAAAATAGTAAAAGTAAATATATTTTTATTATTATTAAACATTAACTAAAATGAACTTTAAATTATTACATTTGTAAGCAATGTGTTTTTTGAAGTATGATTTCAAATTATTTAATTTTTTAATGACAACTATCTGCTTAATGTTTACAAATCATTTTATAATAATGTAAACTAATAAAAAAATTAATAGATTAATAGAAAAAGATAAGTAAATATTTTAAATATTTATAATAAAATTTATATAATGTTAATCACGTGTTTGTTTCAAATTAATTTTTTATAAGAAAATTTCATAAATAAACAAAATAAAAATTCTCGGAATATATTTTTTTGTATAACTTATTGTTAATCAACGAAAAAAAATATTTATAATCAATATATTTATGTATATATTTTATATCTATTTAAATGCTAATTATTTTTCTTTTGTTTTGTCACAATCTTCATCATTGTTGTCATCGTAGAGATTCTTGATCTTCGACGACAATATGACAACCAATATGTCAAACACAGAGCCGATTACTATGAATATTAGCGTTAGGCCCAGCAATCGGTTACGAAATTTATCGGAATCATAGACCAGACAATTACCGGTTTTACCGCATTTTTGCTCCCATATCATACACGCACTGTTAGTCACAGCACCGTATATTAGTAGATTCGGTATGAATGCTAATAATAACAGTCAATGTTAATAAAAATAGATATAAAATATTTAAACAATATATAATACCTAACAAACTATATAAAGCACCGCTAATACCAATAGCAAGACTTTTATCATAACTTTCAACGATTCTGTTATTATAAATATTTTAATTTTTAATATTATCAATAATAATAATAATAATTAATTTGCTAACCTGAATGATATGATAGAATTTCCTGTTCTGGCTAACTGTCCAATTAGTCCACTAATGCTCGTAAGAGTGACAAAAATTTCAAAATTATTGCCACATTTTGTGTCACAATAGCCCTCAGTAGCTGTTCCGCCCTCCAGACAACTGCACATTGAGTATTGCTATTATTAATAATATAAATATATAAATAAATAAGACAAACAGTATATGTAATAATAATAATAGTTGTCATCCCATTCCTTTAAAACTAACATTAGGTCCCGTATCGGATTTGATTAGTGATTCGGGTGCGCACCCGGCATAGCACGGGGAATAATAATTGGTAATATTATCGGGACCACAGATAGGATGAAACAGTTGCTCTGAACAGCCACAGTTGGAGTTGCACTGTGATTGAACATCCATTCCCCTAATTAAATATTAGTAAATATACTATAAGTTTTAATAAATTATACTAATCGTCTCACAAAATGTTTATGGGTAGTGATGCAAACTGTGATGTCGGACATCCCAGAAAAAGACCCGAAAAAAACCCAACTGAGCCCAATATCTCGACAATCAGGACAAACATTGTCAATACACGTGGACCGGGCTGTAGGCATGTTAATATTACACCACCAAATAGTATACCTACAGCTTGCGGTAGTATACCAACTATACCTGTTTTTGTGTGTAAAATATTAGATATAGTTAATTACTAATTTTCATTTTTTATACCTGATATAAAATTGGCAGTGGATGCTGATTTTTTATATTGAGATTCAATATATTTTGATTTGAATGWTACGTAACCGAGTACACCAAATAGTCGGGCACATGAACCCAATACATAGCACAGGTATATAGGATTTGTCATTAAATTTGTAACCCGTTTGACAACACCTAAACATAATACAATTTAAACTATAACTATAAAATATTTCTATATTTTTTAATATAATAGTTGTAAATTTTTAATTATTTTTAAAGTAATATTTATACCCAATTGATTGACTTTCTCTTTAATAGCATTACTATTTTGTAGTAATGTTTGATTATTTTTATTCAAAAAATTATTGATTTGATTTTGTGGTTTAAGATCAGCTGGAAATAAAAGCAACGGAAAACTTGTAATGATTAGGGCAGTGCCCAACACTAGAAAGCCAATCCACCAGGCACCCACCCATCGGGGATCCTTTAAATCCTTAATACCGGAGTCGACTACATATTAATTTTTAAGTAAAACTCTAATTAATTTATTTTTAAAAAAAATTAATTTTTTTTAATCTAAATTACTCAATGGATTTTCGTAATAACGCAATACAAATGATGATAACATGAATGAAATGGTGGGACCAAACAAACGAAAACATGTAAGAAAGCCTATCAAATGAAATATTATAAATGATAGTATAGGTGCTCAGTATATATATAATGATAATAATAAATGATTACTCATAGCGATTGGTGAGTTTTTTTTCTTGACAATATCGTCAACAAATGGTATGCCTAATGTCCAATAAAAAGCAGAGCTCAGACCTATGAGGAAAGTGGCGAACCAAAGACATATGACCGGTATTAAAGAGGCATTGGTTTGTTTGCTATTATCGCATGTATTTTCTAGTAAACTATTTAATAAACAAAACTCTCCAGTTTTATTAGCACCGGTAGAATTGTCAAATGAAGCGCCCAACAGGTGTACTCCAGGACCGTATAGCCAATATGGTAAGGTAGCCAAAAAGCATCCCATTGCCGATATCAGTTGTCCCAATCCAAGCACACGCGGCCGATGCATACGGTGCGCGAAATAGCCAATAATCGGCCGGAATATAAGTGCGGCCACATCAGCGGCTATGAGTATGATACCAGTTACGACACTGTTAAAGGCATATCGGCGTTCAAATGTGGTCAGAGAGGCCATCATATAGACATAGGGTGTTCCGTTCACGAGAGCCACTGCACTGTAAAAAAATATAAACACTCGTGTGTTGGCCCACTTTTGCAAACATTTTGGACGCCATGAGCCCAAACCACATCCTAATGGTTTCTCATCTCCATTGCTGTAGATTGCCATTAAATTTGCTAATAACCGACAGTTTTTTATATTAAAAATATTTTTTTATTTAGTATTAGATATTTTGCATTTTCTTCAAAAAAGTATTAAACAACAAAAATTAAAATGCAATAAAAATAATACAAATATTAATTATTAAATATTTATTTGATTGATTGCCAATAAATCTATTTTATATTATTACTTGAACTTGAATTACTATAACAAATACAAGATATACAGTGCTATCAAATATGTGTGTTTAATCAGATGCTATTAATATTTATTAGTTAAATTTTATTAAAAATTATTAAATTAAAAAAATATATTTCTATATTTAAAAAAAATTATAAAGTTTCTAAAATAAAATTTAAATCAATATAAACATAATTTTTTTTAATTACATAATATTGACATCAATGATTACCCATAACTTAAGTATCTAAGAGGACAGTTATTTTTTATACTAATACAAATGTTTCACATTCAGCACTTTACATATAACCTTTTTTTGTCTATTTTTATGGCTATGAGATAACTTATAATGTTTAGCTAATAATAAATATTACAATGAATTGCATTATTAAATAATTAGAATAAAGTGCTTTAAATTAATATATAATATCTAAATAATGTTTATTAATTTCAATACTTTATGATTAAATTTAAATATTAAATATCAATTTATTTACTAAATGTTAACTTTAAAAATAAACAATGATAACTGATAGTCTTATATTTTGATTTTTGGATATTTAAATTATTGCATTTGTATAAAGCAATGTGTTTTTTACAAGTTTTAGACAAATTACATGACAACTGTCTGCTTTATATTTACTAATTTGATTGTATTATATTATATGATAAGCCTATAAAAAATTGATTTATTTATTTTAATTGCAAAATATTTTTTAAAAATGTTTATAACAAGAGTTAGATAAGAAATTATTTATTATGAATTTGTGTTAAAGTTTTTTTATTACTTATTAAAAAAATAAGACAATTAACTAAATAAACTAAAAAAATCTTGGAATTATTGTTTTGAATAACATATAATTCATGAATAATATAAATATTTTCTTACAAACATTATTTGTAAAAACAATTTTTATTTATTTTTTTCTGTAAATATTTTTAGTTTATATTAATATATACAAAAAATATTTAGATTTAATTATTATTATTATTAGTTTTCTTTGATTTACTATTTGTATCACAATCTTCATTATCGTTGTCATCGTAGAGATTCTTGATTCTTGACGACAATATCACTACCAGTATATCAAACACAGAGCCCAGTAATATCATCGCTAGTGTTATACCCAGAAATCGGTTACGAAATTTGTCCGAATCATAGACCAGACAATTACCGGTTTTACCGCAGTTTTTCTCCCATACCATACACGCACTGTTCAAAATGGCACCAAAAACTAATGGATACGGTATAAATGCTAACAAAAAAAATAAGTGATAATTTATATAAGATTATAATATAAATTATTTTTATAAATAGCTAATTAATACCTAAAAGACTATACATAGATCCGGCGATACCAATAGCAAGACTTTTATCAAAAGTTTCAACAATTCTGTTATTATAAATGTTTTTTTTAGTAAATACATGTTTTTCTATATAATAATTATATTATTATAAATAATTAATTTGCTAACCTTAACGATATAATAGCATTTCCCGTTCTGGATAACTGGCCAATTAGGCCACCAATGCTTGTAAGTGTAACAAATATTTCAAAATTATTGCCACATTGGTTGTTGCAATAGCCATCAGTGGCTGAACCCCCTTCCAGACAACTGCACATTGAGTATTGCTATTAATGATAAATTATAAATTACCGGTAATATTAAGTTTTGAAAATAATAATTATGATTTCCTTTTTTTTCGACAACTAACATTAGGTCCCGATTCGGGTTTGATTAGTGATTCGGGTGCGCACCCGGCATAGCACGGGGAATAATAATTGGTAATATTATCGGGACCACAGATAGGATGAAACAGTTGCTCTGTACAGCCACAGTTGGAGTTGCACTGTGATTGAACATCCATTCCCCTAATTAAATATATTATAAATATATATTTTTCAACAAATTATTATTGTCTTACAAATTGTTTATGGGTAGTGATGCAAACTGTGATGTCGGACAGCCTAGAAAAAAACCAGCTAATATGCCTATTGGACCCAACATTTCCACAACCATAACAAATATAGTCAATATACGTGGACCGGGTTGAAAACATGTCAATATTACACCACCAAGTAATATGCCTGCTCCTGACGGCAATATACCAACAATACCTGTGTGTGTGTGTGACACCAAAAAAAATAAAAACAGATAAACCTATATTAAAGCTAATGATTTTTGTTTACCTGATACAAAATTGGCAGTGGATGCTGATTTTTTATATTGAGACTCAAGATATTTTGACTTGAATGTTATGTAACCGAGTACACCAAACAGTCGGGCACAGGTACCCAATACATAGCACAGGTATATAGGATTTATTAATAAATTTGTAACCCGTTTGACAACACCTATAAATTATTATTTAAAAAAAATACTTATAAAATATTGTTATATTTTACACTTTATACTAAATGGTTACCCAATTGATTGACTTTCTCTTTAATTTTATTACTTTCCAGTGTTGATAATTGCTTATCATTATTATGTACTGAATCTTTAACTTGTTTTTGTTGTTTGAGATCAGCCGGAAATAGAAACATTGGAATACTGGTTATGATTAGGGCTATGGCTAACACTAGAAACCCGATCCACCAGGCACCCACCCATCGGGGATCTTTTAAGTCCTTAATACCAGGGTCAACTATATATATATATAATAATAATAATTTAAGTGATAATCAAATTAGTTTTTGAGTACAATTTAATTAATTGTTTGTTTTTTTTTAATTACTCAATGGATTTTCATAATAACGCAACACTAATGAAGATAACATGAATGAAGTGGTCGGACCAAACAAACGAAAACACGTGAGGAAACCTATCAAATAAAAAATAGGCAGGTGCTCACAATAGGTAAATGTTATAAAAATAATAATTATTATTATACTCATAGCCATCGGCGAGTTTTTCTTTTCGATATTGTCGTCGACAAATGGTATGCCTATTGTCCAATAACAGGCAGAGCTCAGGCCTATTAGGAAAGTGGAGCTCACGAGACATAGGACGGGTATTATGGAAGTATTGATACCAGTGCTATCATTGCATGTGTTATCTGATAAACTATTCACTGAACAGAACTCTCCAGTTTTGTTAACACCGGTAGGATTGTCTACCGTTGCGCCCAACAGGTGTACTCCAGGACCATATATCCAATATGGTAAGGTAGCCACAACGCATCCCGTTGCCGATATCAACTGTGCCATTCCCAGCATACGTGGTCGATGTATGCGGTGCGCAAAATATCCCATAAATGGCCGAAATATTAGTCCGGCCACATCATCGGCTATGAGTATGAAACCGGTTACTATACTATTGAAAGCAAACCGGCGCTCAAATGTTGTCAAAGAGGCCATCACATAACTATATGGCGCTCCGTTAAGGATAGCCATTATACCGAAAAAAATTATGAAAACCCGTGTGTTGGCCCACTTTTGCAAACATTTTGGACGCCATGAGCCGATTCCACAAACTAACGGTTCATCATCGGTATCATTACTACTATAGATAGCCATTATATATATATTAAAAACTGGCAGTTTTTGTTATATATTAATTATATACTAAAAGAAGTAAAAATTATTTTGCACTAAATTTGTTACAATTATATCATTTTTTTTTGAAAAATATTTAACATTAGACATTCAAAAGAATTATTAAGAATAAGTGACATAAATATTAATAATTAAATATTTATTTCATTAATTAACAATTAATCTCTTTCATATCAAATAAATGTTTAGACATTTATAAAACATTTTTTTTTTAAAACTAAAAACACAATTTTTATTAATACTAAACATGAATTAATGTCACAAATTTATTAGATATGTCAAATATCATACAGTATGTGTAATACTGTATTAGTATGTAGGCTTAATCAGTTGATATTTATTAGTTATAATTTATAATAATTTATTAAGCTAATGTAAAATAAATTAAAAATATAAGAAAAAATTTATAAATAAAACACTGATTTTGTATTGTTTATGCTATATACAGTATATTTTTACACACTGTACTTATCACTACATAATGTATAGTAGTTTAAAATTATTTTTTAATTTTAAATAATGCTATTGTAAATTACCTTCAATTTTTGTTTAAAATTATACAGTATATATAAAAATAAATTATTATAAAAACTTTTATAAAACCGGTTTCGATTTCTAGTTATTAAACATTAATAAAAAGCAATATTTTATTTTTAAATAAATAATTTTATAATAATACAGTATTTTGTGTTAAAAAAATTCTTAGAAAATATTGAAGATTTATAAAGTATAATAGATATTAAAAAACAATTTTTACTGTTAATACTGTAATTAAGGTATAGATTTTTTTTGCAAAATATTATATAAACAATCAATTAATAAATATTGTATACAAACTGCTGTATAAATTATATATATATATATATATATATATATACAAAACATTATACACTCTCTAATAATAATACAATAAAATGTATAAATATTTACTGTACTAACAAAAAGAGTTGCTGAATATTTGTAATATTTTTATAATAATCGTTTTAAAATTTTAAAAACTGAAATACTAATATAATCAATAGTTTAAAAAATGTTTAAAAATACTAAACTATAAATTTAAAAAAATTATTTTATTAATTGGATAATAGTTCTTAAAAATTATAGTGAAATGAACTGATATATAAAAATATATTTACAACATAATAGTAGAAAATAATATTATAATAGGTTTATCAAATAAATAAAATAATTACCGTATGTACGCGCATATAACCCCCTAGCAGGTTTTTTAAGAAATAAAAATCAACTTTCAGGGGCTGTAACTCACATATACCCCCTCTATTGGGGCTATATGTGAAGTCGTGGGGGTAGGAAACGATTGGGGAATGGTTTAACATAGTGTTAATTTTAGACATTCAAAAACTTCAATAGTGGGGCTATTTGTGAATTCATTAAATCAAACTTTTGATATGGGGCTGTAACTCACATATAGCCCCATAGTTTTACATATAGCCCCGGATGCCTTAGGGGGGCTATATGCGCGTACTAACGGTACCTGTAATTTCCTTATATTATTCAAAACAATCTAGTTCATTTGCAGTTACACATTTTAATCTATGTTCATTTTTCAATATTTTCAATATATTATTATAGCCATAATTAGTGAGAGTATTGTCAAAATTTATTGTAATATTTTTATCAATCAATGATCTGATCATAGTTTTCGTTGAACGACACTTAAGTGATATGTATTTCAGACGAGTCATAGAATGGGTACCGAAATTATCGTCAAACGACCCGTCAATGACCAGATTCGGTGACTCTATTGACAAGTGTATCAAATGCTTCATACGGTTCAGTGATAATAAACCGATTGGCGGTAATACTTCGCTATTAGAGTTATCGTAGACATCTTTAACCACAAGTGACAAACGTCGCAAATAGTGGTAATCGGTGTTAAATGCGGTCAACATATCGGCCACATTGACGGCAAACATATTATGATAACGAGTGATGACCACAGACATGCTCTTCAATTGATTCAATCGCTGACCAATTGTTTTCAGACCCAACATAAAAGCGCCAAACAGTTCACTCTTAACATTAATACAGTTTATGTTTAACGATAAATGAGATAATGAAGTCATCGCTGGTAAAGTGTGTATCATGAGAGCCGATACTGATTTAAGGGTACAATTGTCTTGAATTGCAATCTCAAGTGACTGCAAACGAGGCCCGTATTGATCGACAAACTGTTGGACTGAATCCATGTCTTGATTGCTGTAAACAAATGAAAACTTCTGTAGTTTCGTAAATAACACATCGTTTGGTGTGTCCGTCATTATCATCAATAGTTTTGTGTTGAGCCGATTAACTGTTAATTGTCGTAAATTGCGGCACAACATCATTATCTCTTGTAAACCAGCAATCAGTTGGCTATCGTATATCATTTCATCGACAGTAAGTGATCGCAACTGTGGCCACAATTTCAGCATTAGTCTCAAGTGTGAGACATAGAGTTTCTCACAGTGTATGTGACGAACATATGGACAATAAATGGTCAACAAATCAATGGTCTCGTGACTGATGCCGTAGCGAAGGAAAACATGTCTCATATACGGCAACTTCTTGACCATCGACTCAAACATAAGCCAACCGTCCGAACAATACTTGTTTAACAATATGTATGACTCCGAGGTATAAATCAATCGTTGCCATTGTTTGCTGACCGCTTCGTAGCGGAAACGGTCGCCAATCGACAGCTGACTTAACAATAGTTCGCATAAATCATCGCCGAAGCGGTCAAAACTGTCTTTCGGATATTCAATGTCGCTATCAATCGTAATCAACGGTATCTTTTTGTCGATCATTCATCACTTGATCCGCGGTTTCGATCACTTGTTTGTCATTATTGACATTCTTCCGGGTATTCTTCAGTAGTTTTCTATCTCTACGAAGTGCTAAATAGTCATCAAATGTGTTGACAACAGAAGATTGTGTCCGATTGTCTTCACTATTGTCACTCATTTGCAAATAATTTATACTTTTATTTATTATATTTTTAATTAAAAAGTTTTATTATTTATAATTTGCAAACATTTTCTATTTAATTAAGTTTAATAAACTCATTGAAAAACTATAGGTTAATAACATATGTTAATCACGTGACACGTTGTCTAATATTATTAATAATAAACATAAATATACTCTAAAAACCTGTTTTCATATGTTTTCAAAAAAACAATAATAAAATTTAATAATATATTTATTACATAATATTTACAGTAATGTTGGCGCGCGGTATTCAATATATAAAATAATATAACTTTTTTTTGTCTGTAAATTATTATATAGTTTTAGTTTATTGATAATTAAATCTAAATTCATTTTTATATAATATTGAAAACGATTGAATTTTAACACAAAAAATTATAATATAATCATAAGACACTTAAAGTAGATTTTAATTATTTTTTCAAATAGTAATAATTTTAATATTAATATAGTAAATATGGATATAATAATTTTGTATATTATTAATGTTGGGCGTATACAATCAATTAAAATAATCAATGTTAATAAATTCAAGTTAATAATATGCTAATTTGCAATTAATATCAAATATTTTTTTTATAGATAATGATTACACAATTTTCAAGTCAATGAATGTCTAGACTTTAACATATAATTGCAAATCAATAAATTAATTTTGTTATTTATTATAGTTTTTTACATCAACTCTATATGATTTTGTTTATAATTGTAAAAATTTATTAATTTATTGATAATTAATGAATGACTATTTAATAATTTTTTTTAGTAAAACTATACTTATCAAAAAAAATACCAATTATTCTAATTTTTTTTTGTTATATTGTAAAAAATGTTAACTAAAACATTTAGCTATATCATTGTCTTTTTTAAAATAACAATTTAATATATATTTTGAATGAGTTTGTAAAATCAAAAATATTTTGATATGAAAAATATTCATAAATATTGATAAAAATAACTTTATTTATCAATTTTATCATTATTTTGTCGGTTATTATCTTTTTCCATCTTCTTCTTCATCTTCTTCATCGTACAGATGTTTGATACGCGACGATAATATAACAACAATTAAATCAAATATGAAACCAATGACAATGAGTGAAACGGTTGTTCCCAACAATCGATTCTTTAGTTTTTCCGAGTCATAGATCTGACAGTTACCGGTTTGACCACATTTGGTCTCCCATACCATACAAGCAGAGTTAACTATAGCACCGTAAACAATGGGATACGGTATATGTACTGCAATTAATTGCATTTGTAATGCATATGATTATCAAAAAAATAAACAATTGTTTAGATTTTTTTAATGTCAATAATTTTCAAACTAATAATGTATAATAATATTACCAAATATTGCTAAAACAGTGCAAACAAAAGCCAATGAAAAACTTTTATCAATATCATCGACAATCCTATTTTGATATTAAAAATAAATAAAATATTTATTATTATTATTATTATATCTAATTGAATACCAAACCTGAATCCAATAAATCTGCTGCCAATTCTTGAAGTACTGCCAACAATACCGGCGACAGTAATAATAATAATTAATATTTCAAAATTATTGCCACAGTTTGGGTCACAGTAGCCATCAGTGGCCACTTGATTGTCAAAACACTCGCACTCTGCATATAACTATTTTTTTCAGATAAATGTATCAATTAAATTGTTTAAACTAAATATCATATGTTTCAATACAAACATCAGATCCGTTATCTGATTTGATTAATGAGTTTGTGGTACAGCCGGCAAAACAAGGAGAATAATAATGTGTGAAATTGTCGGCTCCGCATATCGGATGAAATGACATGGACTGACAGCTACAGTTGGATTTGCACCCACCTAAACTATACATAATAATTAATCAATATTTTTATTATTTAATAAACAACATCATATTTAAAAAAAAATTTATATTACTTATCATAAGTAGGTAGTGACGAGTAGTATGTTTTAGGACAGTCTAAAAACATTGCGGCCAAATAGCCGATCGAACCTAACAGTTCAACAATTGTGATATATGTAGTGAGGGTACGAGGGCCCGGTTTGAGAAACGTTATAATGGCGGCCCCAATCAATATACCTACAGCATATGGTACTATGCCTACCAGTCCTATTAAAACACTGGTACTTTATTGTCTGATAAACTTGTCTAAAAAATAGTAAAACATTGTGCGCCTATCCTACCTGTTATAAGATTAGCCATTGATGCGGACTTTTTATACATAGTCTCAATGTATTTGCCTTTAAACGTATTGTAGCCATTAATTGCAAACAATCGTAATCCGTCACCGATCAACACCAACATGAATATCGGATTTGTTAGCATACGTTTACAACGTGTAACCAAATCTATTAATTAAACAATAATTTATTTAGTATTACAAAAAAAATAATTAAATGATAATCAAATATTTTATATGATATACAGTACTCATATTTGATTTATTTTGTTTAGTTATATTTTTGGCTTTCTGCTGGATGTGCAAACTTTTAGTGGATATATGGGGTGGAAACAAAAACATAGGTATACTAGATAGAGCTAATAGGATGCCTAAAATGATCAATCCCAACCACCAGGCACCCACCCAACGTGGATCAGTTAAGTCTCTGATACCGGAATCAACTAACAAAATAAGTAAAAAAAATTAATTCATGTGATTTTTTTTTTGAAAATCGACAATAACTTTACCGAATGGATTCTCATATACCCGTAAAACCAACGATGAAAGTAATTGTGCGCCGGCTGGCCCTAAAAGTCGGACGCATTGAAGTAAACCTATTATATATTTATACAAAAAAATATAAAAATTATTTTTATTAGTTTTAAGTTAATTATATACTGCCAAAAACACTCATAATACCAAAATACATTGGCGATTGACGTTTATTAACAATATCGTCCACATAGGGAACGCCAATAATATAATAAGTTACGATTCCGAGTCCCACCAAAAATGTACAACAAAACAAACAGAGCACCGGTACCAGTGATTTTGTATAGTCAACAATATTTTTATCGCAATCGCTAGCACTGTATAATGATATATCACAGAATTCATGATTGCTTTGAACAGTTTGATTAACGATCGCACCAGTAGTATCCACTTGTTGTGTCTGTATTCCCGATCCGTAGATAAAGTAGGGCAGAGCTCCGATAAAGCATCCGGCGGCCGATATTAGCATACTGTAGGCAATGATACGAGGCTTATGCATTTGGTGAGCAAAATATCCAAGAAATGGATTGAATAGGACTTCTGCCACATCGTCACCAATGAAAACAATACCCATTACGACACTGGATATGGCATACCTGCGCTCGAGTGTAGTCAGCGATGAGATGACATAATTGTATGGAGAACATTGCAATATACCCAACAAACTAAATAATATTATAAACACTGTCGGTGTCATCAACCGTTGTATTGATTTTGGACGCCACCGGCCAATACCACAACCCATGCGGTCAGCTATAGAGTCACAACTCGCGTAAATTGCCATTAAATTGAAAATTATTATTAAATAGTTTAGATTTTAGATTTTTTTAAAAATTATTTATAATAAAATTATTAGTTGTTTGCGAAATAATCAATCATTATTTAAAAAATAATCTTCTATTTTATTAGAAATAATTTATTAGATTTTCACTATTTTCTTATATGCTATCTAATTTGTATCAAAAATTGTTTATAATGATACAATATATAATCAAGGGCATTTGTTTAAATTAATTTGTCACTCAATTTTATCAAAAATACTGTATGAGTGCTATTGTAATACAATTATTAGAAATGTGTCAAACGATTAATGAGTGTAAAAAATTGATTACTTAATTCATAAAAAATTTGAATATAATTTGAAATAAAGATAAAATACTTTAAATATTTATAAAAATATTTATAAAAATATTTATAAAAATATTTATAAAAATATTTATAAAAATATTTATAAAAATATTTATAAAAATATTTATTGTATAATTTATTTTCTTATAAATATAATATTAGTAATTTACAATATATTTATTTATACACAAAACTGTGATATTTTAGTTTTAATTTAATCATATAAAATATATTGTTAATTTATTATTTCAACTTTACAATATCTTAATTTATAAATAGTTAGTATAAACTATGAAAAATATATATATAAAATAACATAAGCTAATTATCAATCATCATCGTCATCATCATCAGTGTCATCATTGTATAAATTTTTAATCCTTGACGACAATAAAACAACAATTAAGTCAAACACAGATCCGGCAAAATACAGGCCAAGTGTCAGTCCGTGAATACGGCGCCGAAATTTGTCGGAATCATAGACCAGACAATTACCGGTTTGTCCGCACTTTGATTCCCATATCATACACGCACTGTTAGTCACTGCACCGAAAACCATAGTACACGGTATGAATGCTAGTATTAACACAATAATAATAATACCGGTATGTTATCATATTTTATTATATTCATAATTAAAAAAATATTTACCAAATAAGCCCATTATAGCACCACTTAAGCCAATGGCTAAACTTTTATCTAATTTATCAACTATTCTGTAAACAATAACAACAATTATTATAAGATTTTTCTAAATTATTGCCAATATTTTGTTTGTTGCAAAATTATAAGTAATACTGACCTAAACGATATGATAACATTGCCCGATCGGGCCAATGTGGCCACTAAACTACCGAATCCCAACAGTGTAACGTAGGTTTGAAAATTATTTCCACAATTAGTGTCACAGTAGCCATCGGTGGCTACACCATCGATACAGTCACACCCAATAAATTGCTACAAAAAAAATCACAATCACTTATTTAAAAGATTCTGTATAATTAAGATGATATTATAAAAACCTTAATAGACAGACACGCGCGCACACACACACACACACACACATACATACACACACATACATACACACACATACATACACACACATATATACACACACATACATACACACACATACATACACACACATACATACATACACACACACATGCACTACCTTGATTGTACCATTGATTGAGTTAACCAATGAATTTGGTGGACATCCAGCGTAACATGGTGAAAAATAATTGGTTATATTATCGGAACCACATATCGGTTGGAACATGTGTTGGGAACAGGTACAGTTGGAGTTACATATATTCAAATTGCTTAATAATAATAATAACAACATTATTTCAATATATTAAATTTGAAAAGTAATTTTACATGAATTTATTTAGTGATACCTATTTGGTAGGTTAGAAAATTGAGCACTGGGACAACCTAAAAATAGTGCACCAATAAAGCCCATTGTGCCAAACAACTCGACAAGTGTGGTAAACGATGTCAAAACAAGAGGACTGGGCATAAAATATGTGATGAAAGCACCGCCTATTAGTATGCCTGTAGCTGACGGCACAATACCAACAATACCTATTCAACAAATAATAAAATGACATTTTACACAATTTGTCACAAAAGTGCTACCTGGGTAATATGTATATACCAAATAATATACCTGTTATCAGATTAGCAGCAGATGCCGATTTGTGGTACTGAGACTCCAGATACTTGGGCTTAAAAGCCATATAACCCACAACACCAAACAAACGGAGGAATGTACTGATGACAACACACATATATATCGGGTTTGTCAACAATCGTCGTAAACGAGTTTTAATATCGGGAACTGTTATCAACAAAAATAATACAACATTTGATTTGCTAATTTAAAATATATAATTTACCATGCTGACTATTAGAGTTTTGTTTAGTTTGCTTTCGTGATACAGCACCGGTAGCTTCTTTGGATTTACTACTCGATACCAGTTTATCGGGAAACAAAAACATAGGTATACAACCTATTAGTATAAATACGCCTAACATAATGAAACCAAGCCACCAGGCGCCCACCCAACGGGGATCGTTAAGCTCAATACCGGGATCATCTAAATAAAACAATAGAAGTTATATGTTATTAATCTTCAATATAATTATAAGAAACTACTTTACAAAATGGGTTTTCATAAAATCGCAAAAATATTGACGAAATAATATAACCCAGTGTTGGACCCAATAGACGTAGGCATGCGGTCAGACCTAATGTTTGAATATTAGAGATAATGTAAATAATAGTTTTAAAATTGCAAAAAATAAGTTAAAGTTAAAATTTTTAGTTATATTATTGATTTTTTCATATTATTACCTACCGGTGCTAAAAAATAAAATAATAATAATTATATACTCATATAAAGGGGTGAATTCTTTTTCTTGACCGAGTCGTCCACAAATGGTATACCTAACGAGTAATAGGAGGCGGAACCGATACCATTCAAAAACGTTGCAAACCAAATGCATAGCACTGATACCAATGCCGTGTGAACCTCCCTGTCCTTACAACACAGATTGTCTAAATCTCTATTGGCATCGCAAAATTCTGTACTATTATTGCTAGTACTGGTAGAATCAATATTGTTTGCTGTTGTTCCCAACATATGATAACCCGGACCGTAAACGAAAAAGGGAACGGCAGCCAAAAACAGACCCACGGCTGTGATCACTTGACAGTAACCAATCATACGAGGCCGGTGTATACGGTGTGCCAAATAACCGAATATCGGTTGACACAAAAACTCGGTTATATTGTCGGCTATAAGTATAAGCCCAGAGTAGAAACTGTCGAAGGCATACCGACGCTCTAGTGTGGAAAGGGAGGCGGCCACATACCAGTAAGATGCACCCTGTAATATGCCTACTAAGCCCAGTGACAGCATAAATGTTTTCGGCGACGATAACAATTGCCAGCGCCGGGAGCTACCGACTATTGTATCACTTTTATATAAAGCCATTCAAACAGATTTTAAATATAAAAAAATTATTTTTTATAAATATTACTTTAAATATCACATTTTATTTGAAATATTTTTTGTTAATAACATAACTATTAAACTATTAATCAATAATGAATACATTTAATATTGTATTTTTATAGACTATAATTTATAGTTATGTATGAAAAATGTTTGTCTTAAAAATACAAATATATTGAATATTTTTTGATGAATTATTATATTAGAGATAAAAGTCAATTGGGACCATATTTACTAATACAGTGTATTATGAATACAATTTTATTTATATTTATTTGTTGATAAAAATAAATTTGCGATAATTGAAAAATACAAATTTATCATTTTCTACAATTACCAAGGTCGTCGTCCAATTTGGTCATTACTATATTTAATTAAATTTATTATTTATAATAATATATTTATTTAATAATTTAAAGCATTTCCTAAATAAGWAAAAAAAGATTATTTAATTAAAATAAAGTTATAATTAAAAATAAATACTATGATAGAGAAAATTAATAATTTATTTATATTAGTTGTTATTGTAATTTTGTAACAAGGTAAATTATATTAATTAATATAAATAAATATTTTATTAAATGTCTCAATCACAAAAAAACTTACTTGCTAACATTTAATTAGTAATCATGGTAATAAATAAATATTTAATATTTCTAATTTGTGTACCAATCGGTCTAAATGTACTATTATTTATCAAATAATTTTTTTTGTTAATATTATACATTGAAATATTGAAATGATATTGAAATAAAAATTGTGTAATAATGTTGTATTTTACCATAACATTAGATTTATTAACTTATGTGTGAAACTTTTGAAAATTCAATACTGAATAATATTTTTTAATATAATATTAGAGTTCTGGAAACTTTCCTAGGGATGAAAGTTTCCTAATAAAATCTTTCCAATTTTTCCGAAAAATAGGGAAAATATTATACTTTCCCTCCCTAACCCGTTAGAAAAGAAGTTTTTTTTAAAAAATATTTCTATAATAAATAATACCAAAACTTATTTTTTTTTGCATAAAATATCATTGAAATATTTAAACATAAATTTGAATTCAATGAATTTGGTAATACTGTTTAATAACACTCAAAATACAGTTTAATACAACAATTGTTATTCAAATTTTATAATAAAATTTGTTGTTTAGAGTTCAATAGGTGGTAGCATATGGAAATAAATTCCCTGGGAATTCTCAGAGCAAAAAAATAGGGAACTTTTGGAATATGACGAGGGATTAAATTTGCTCTAACCCTATATAATATAAATTTACATTATGTATTGTCCCTCTATTTTATTTATAGTATTTATTTTAAATCTCAACTATTAATTTATAATTGTTTAAATAGATAGCACTATTTGTATAGTATTTATAAATTAAATTATTGATTGAAATTTAACGATTGATTTTATCTAAACTTTTTTTTTATAACATTTTATTACAAATTTACAGTAAATATAAATGTAAATAATAAGTACTATTAATACAAACTTTTTAAACAATTAATGTGATAGCAATGCTCTCTATCAATACTATTCATAACTATTAACACTAATATTACGTGTATTTAAATGTTATTTATAAAAAAAACTTTTTAGTGGCGCATGTATTGCATGTATTTAGCAAATCAAATAAATTTTTACAATGTTATGAGTCATGCAATTGCTTATCATTACGTAATAATAAAAAACACAAATTAAATAACATTTGGTTATTGGTTGGCAACATATTATAATGTAATATATCATATATTAAGATATATGACATAATATCTAATGAATAAACATTTTTATTAATATTTTTAACAATTTATTTAGTGGTTGATTGAAAATAAAGGTATTTCATTGTCAATAGATTTTTATTATAGATAACAAAAACATTTTACATTTATTAATCAACACAATTTTAATTTAATTTATTTAATAATATAATAATAATAATTATAATTTATTTAATTGTAAAAAATATCATTTTTTTCGTAAGTAATTATTTTCATTATTACTGTCATAATATGATAATTTAACTAAATCTACTTTTTAACAAATTTAAATACAATTAGTTTATTTAAAATAATTTTTTTTAATAATAAAATTTGTATTCATAATACTGTTTSTATAATATTAATAGCAAATAATTTAGTGACACATCATTGTATCGTATCATTGGCAGAGAGCTGAGGACCGATAGTACAGTAATACTACTACAGTCTATAGCAATATACTGTACAGTATAGGGTTGGCGTTGTCTTTCAATACTGTATTGCAATTTATACAATAAATATGACTTCAAATAATACTACAAATAGTGGTGAAGACAGTATGAGTCAATCTAAAAGGGTATGTTTGATATGTTTGTAAAAAATATACAAACAAATTGTAAGTATGTTTGTGTGTGTGTGTCTGTAAATGTTATACGTATTTTAATTAACTTTTCAAACTTTATATTAAATCTATTAAAAAAATAATATTAATGTCTATATAATGTTTTTGTTATGTTATACTGTATGTCTGTGTATGTTTGTGTGCAATGCATTACACTATCTTTAATAAACTGTAATTCAATACTGTATAATAAAATTTTTTGATACTCTAATGTTGTTATAATTAAATATCTAAATACACTATTGTCTATTTAGAGACTAGTCTTATTAATTTTAACCTAGCACCTTTTATTATGTTGTCTATTTCATTATTAATTATTGATATACTGTATGTTGTATTGTGATTGTATTGTACTACTTATGTATTTATTTAACTTTTCTCTCATTATTAAACTATTAATAAGTGCTATGAAAATACAGTTTAATAAAACAAAACAAAAAGTTTCATCAATTGAATTGATTATTAACTGGCAGTCATGCAAATAAAGTACAAATAATTGATGCAAAACATTAAAAATCAAATTTACAAATAATTTTTGAATCATAAAAAAAACTTGCATTTGTTGACTAAAAGTTTACAAAATTTTCAATTGTGTGTTAACTGATTGATGATTACACTGTATAGCACTTTAAAACAAAAAATAATTTCATCAATTTTTAAAAAAAAATTGTTTGTTAACTATTGTTAATCTTATGTTATTGTGTTTTTTGTTAAACAAATTGATAACAAATTTAAAATTCATATTTAAAAAGTTGAAAATCAAATCAAACCAATTATCAAACAAAAACAATATATCATCACAAAAGTACGATAAGTATTATTAATTTAATTTTAAAGTTATTTTTTTATAAACAGATTACAAATTAATTTGAGTTTTATTTTTATTGCTAATCCTTTCAAAAAAATATAGCGTAAAATGTGTGATAACTATGTGAAAGACTTCGGTAACTATTGCCGAAACAATGGCATTCCCGAAGAGGCCATCAAATACACAACCGATAGCAATACCAATGGTATGGGAAAGTACTGGTCTATTGTGTTTGTAGACATGGATGGACTCAGTGATGTGATTAGAGGATCGGCTTTCGGCGACACCGAATTGGACTCGTGTAACAATGCGGCCAAACAGGCGCTCGACAAGTGTGGCGATCGGGTGATCGTTGAACTGTTGGATAAAATTGAACACATGGTCGTCACAAAAGCTACCGATGCTGAGGCTGCTGTTGGTAGTGGTGATCAACAGGACAAATCTGGTTCAAGTCCTGTTAGTACCGGTGTTGGCGACAACAATGTCAGCCGATCTACCGATGCGACGACAAGGTCGCCAACAGCGACGGGTGACATAACTAATATTCCTAATCCGATCGGTTATCTTAACGAACTGAGCGCCAATAAGAAGCTGTCGAAAACCTATACGTTTCCCGACTATAAAGTGATAAAAAGGTCGGGCGCTGATCATAATCTTGAGTTTACCTTCGAATGCAAGATGTTTGTGAACGGCATCGAAATGGTGGTCAGGGGTAAGGGTTCCAATAAAAAGAGGGCAAAAGAGGAATCGGCTAAAGCTATGATTAGATTGATCAACAGTCAAGACGCCGGTAGTGAAAACATTTCCCCAAACACTTTCTCTGGAGGTCAACAACAACTACAACAACAGGTCAATCGAGCACAAGATCTTAACACTCATATCCGCAATATTAGCCAAAATTCGGCTCAAAAACAGCAATTGAACGACTGGTTTGTCGACGAAACTCTTGATTATCAGAAAAAGTTGGACAAAATTTTGCCTCTATTGGGCTGTTATGCCAAATATGACCAGTCATGGGATGGACAGTCGTGTTCTACTATTGTCGAAGTTATTGTCACTCATTTGACTGATAGATGGTTTAAAACTATTGCTATGAGTGATAAGGGCGCTAATGATAGCCAATTGAAAGCCGCCAGAAAAACCATTATTCAATTGAAAATCAATGTCACCGACGATGACGATAGCTATCAATAAACAAAAATTATTGAATTTATTAATTGATTAAATTGAATATACTTATTAAGTGATTGTATATTTGATTGTATTATTATTATTCGTAATTAATTTAGAAATTTATTTGTGTAAAAATCAATTTAATTGAGATTTCTTACAAATTAAAAAAATTTTTTGGTATAAATATTACGATACTTACCGGTACTTGAATAATGCAGTTTATTTTTGTGTAAGTTCAAATGTCAAAGTGTCAAATTTTAAATTAGATTTAATTTTTATTATTATTTGCTCAATTTTTCTAAATAATCTTTTTTTTTAATTTTGATTTATTATAAATGCTTATCTATTCATTTATTCATTAAATAAAGCAAAATATTTTGACCGAAACTAAATTTTTGAAATAATTTTTTAATTTTTATATATTTCCTATTATATTTCATACTTAAATTATGTACAAAAAAATTTCAAATTGTTTGAATGACTTAGAAATTTGTAAAATAATTTAATACTATTATAATAATTATTTCAACTATTTATTTGCCATATTTATTGTTCAGCTCTTCTAACTCTTTGTGAGCTAACTCGTCGGCAATGTTTTGATTATTGAGTTTCAAACCTCTTTGGATCCATTGTTTGGCTTCTGTTTTGTTATTGTCGGCAATGAGAGTCCGAGCCATCCATAAGTGGTTGTCTTTAGATTCGGGATTCAATTCGTGTACTTTTTTGAATGCATTCAACGCGTCCTTATAGGTGGCGGTCGGTATTTTTCCGTACAATTTTTCGCCGACTTTCCTCTCGAGCCAACCCAATGAGGCCACACTATAACACCACTGGCCATACATTGATTGCATAAAATGGTCGTCGGGTTTGAGTTTGAGTGCAATGTCTGCGTGTTCTTTGAATTGGTGACCATATTTGATCTTTTCCTTTGATGAGCTAATGTTAGCCAACAAACCCAGTGAAGCGCACATCCATTTCTGACATTCAAATTTGTTTGGCTCAGCCCTACAGGCTTTGTCCGAGTATTCGTATGCCTTGTCGGCCCTACTCTTCACTAAATCATTGTTTTTGACTTTTTCTGCCTCTTTGGCCAAATATAGCAACACTTTTGCCATCCGATAGAAGACTTCGGCCGACTCTTCCTTTTTAACGTTTGCTGTCATTTCGTTTAACAGCTTTTCCTTATCGGACGCCATATCTTCGCACTGTTTGTCCCAATCAGTGAAATCAATAGCCATTACTTTATTATTTAAAGTTCACACAATAGATAGTTTACTTGAAGTCCAAATACTTGATTTTTGTGACATTGGTTTTTAATCAATCGATGATAACAATAATTTTTGCAACAATACTTTAATTTTAATTATTTTTTAAAATAAATTAATACAAGTAATATATTGTTTACAATTTAATTAATTAAATATTTTTAGACAATTAATTAAATTATTTACTGTATAAAATGATTAAAAATAAATTATTATGTAATTATTAATATTATTAACGAAAAACTGAATACCATATAATTTGTATTTTCCTTACAGTTTAGTTTTGATATTTTTATACTCAATGGCTATGCATTACAATAGTAAATCTTTGAACATTTTTCTCAAAATTTTGATCATTTAGTAGAATATGGGCTTAAATTTAATTAATTAGTTAGTTATTAATAATATTATGAATGTATTATAATTATTATTGTTTTAGTAAATAATTTGTTTATTTTTAGAGTAATGTATGAATTTAGTTTATTATAAATAAAAGATTGATAAAACTATGAAATTTATCATATAAAATATTTGATCTATAATGATTGTATTATATAACGCAAATGATAATATATAAATATAATTTAATTACTTTTATTTATAAATTAGATAATATAAAAAATATTTCCACATAAAAGCCGATAAATGCAGTACTGATACCCATAGCATACACACCCAATGCTATCTTCATTTCATCCAAATTCATATAATCCCTGTCCTCTTGATGTAGTATTTGTTGTTTTTGTTTAATATGTTTAGTTGATTGTTTCATTTTCACATAACTAATAAAATTTAATTTATCATATATTCCTGTTTCTAAAATGCTTTTAGATCTAAAATTATTTTTAAAAATAGTTAAATTGTTTTATTATTTAATATATAAATTATATAGAAATTAATTTGTTAAATATACAAATATAAAGTATAGTTTAATATTGATATGTCTAGACTCACATTAGTATATATTGTTTAATTATTGTTGAATTGCTATATGATTTAGGTATAAGTCGTGCATAACATTGTTGGAAATACATATCACTCGACAAATGCAATGATTTATCCTCTAATTGTGTCATTACYTCTAGATTAGCCATATGTTGACTGGCTATCATAACTGATTGTTTATTAATAATTGAATTTATAGTTGAGTCGTGTTGTCTAATAAACTCAATGATACTCTTATTAAAAACTTTTGAGACTCTATTTATAATTTTATTTTCAATAGGTGTAGCTTTAAGCTGTGTACCAAAAATAGTTATATTGTTTGTAATAAAAATAAAATTAAATATCAATTAATACCTTAATTGCTTCAATTTCTTCATCTAATAACAATATTATAATTTTAAGTTTATTTTGTTTATCCAAATCATATAACGAATCAATTGTTGTATGCGTTGTCTGTATAGTTGTCGACATTATTTCATTACTAATAAAATTCAATATAAAAAATTTGCCCAAAAATAGACTGCCAAATATCATTATTTCTTTTATTATCAAATTTTTATGATGGATTAAATTAATATCTATATTTTATAATATTTATATAAAAAATGTATTATTAAAATATAAATATGTAAAAATTAACTTACCCAATAAAAACAAAGCATTTATGATAAACCATATATTATAAAAAAATTTAGTAAAAGTATATGAAAGTGAACTATAATAACAACAGTCAATAATAAAATATATATAAATTTATATATCCGGTAATAGACATAATTTTATATACTGTATTTAGTAATATAATATATAAAATTAGTTTTTAAACATTTAATTGTTTATATAATTAAATAATTATTATACGAGATTATTAAATATGTGAATATGATAATTATAAACTAACTTACTATGAATTGTATTGTTTATTAATAGTTATATAAAATGAATTGATTGTAGTTAATAACGCAATAAAGAAAATCATTATACTTATAAATATCCAAAACTATTAAATAAATTTTATTATAAAATTATACATATAATTAAATAATAGATATAAAATATATTATAAATAATAAAAATTAAATCTAAAACCCTTGGTTCAAATATTTTCCAATAACCAAATAAATCGTTTAATTGTTTTATAGGATAATTACTACCAATAATTGAAATACTTCTCGATATAAATGGGTTTAATTGATCAGCAAATTGAATAATCTGTTCGTTTAGATTAATTGTTTCTAATGATATATCGACCATCTATTGAATATAATATAATAATTTTTAATTTAATTTTTGAATATTTCACATTTTTACCTTATTATAAACGAGATATAATCCATTAGTAATATGATAACTATAATTTTGCATTGTAGTTGATGTAATGTTAATGTTGTCTACAAAAATTAGGCTTAATATAATAATAAATAGATATTTTATTAATTTTATACATAATTATTAAAAGTTATATATATATATAAATAAATATATATATATAAATAATAATTTCTTTATGTTTTAATTATTGAAATCTAAAATTACTTATGTTTAGTTTTAAATACCAATTGACTTAATATTGTACTTTGTTGGCCACATAACATTTTAACGGTGTCTGTTATTGCTATTAATATAAACAAAAAATTATTTAATTAATAAAATATTTAATATATTTAGTTATAATAATTTTTACAGTACAGAATAAAATATCACTATATATAGTAATATTTCCAATTGGTTTAATGATTTCAAAACCTAATGTGTTTGGTTTTGAAACATCAATTTTATTACACTGAAAGTTAACACTATTTCTATTAATTGTCATTATTTTCTATCAATTCTTAGTAATTATTTTTAAACAATTTAAAAATAAAATAATATTTTTATTAAATTTATGAAACAGATATTGACAATAGTATTTATTTTGATACAGAAATTAAAACATTATTTTTATAATACGTATAAAACTTTCAACACATTAATTAATTATTTATAAAAAGCTTAATTAGAGTATTATCTACTGTAAGTTATATATTATAATATATTGTATAAAATTTTGTATTGTTTTAAATTATTCATAGTTTTTTTTATTATTATATTGACCTAGTTATAGATGATAAATAATTTAATTCATACAAAATTTATATATAAAATAATATAACAATATTTTATAACTATTAATAAAAATTATATAATTAATATTACTTTAATTATCTTAATAAAATTAGAATAAATCATAATACAATAGTTTAATTATTTTATTTCATAGCTATTTGTTACAATATTTATATTACAAATTAAGTAACTTTTAAAAAATAGTTTATATTATACAAATAAACATTATTAGATAACACTTTAATATATGTGTTATTAATAGATAAAATTCAGTATTTATATAGCAATATAATAATAATTATAATAATGTATAAATTTATATAATTTATTTACAATAATATAGTATTTTTTAAATAAATTACTCTTCATATTTATATCATATATTAGGATATAGTATATTTGTATATAAATAATATATTATACTGCATATAAATATACTGTATCTAATATATATGATATAAATATGAATAGTATTTTTTTAAAAATACTATTAAATAAAATAACTTTCAGTTTAAGTGATTCGGTTGAGTGTATAAAATAATTTATTATTTTTGTTCTAAACAATTAAATATTCAATTTAGTAGATAATTATAGCTTAAATTATTAAATCACATAATTTATATGAATATTACTAAATTATTTATTTAGTTATCATATAATATCTTATTAATTAAAATTAAATAATTTATAAAATATTTCCACATAATAGTTAACAATCGCAGCACTGATACCCATAGCATACACACCCAATGCTATCTTCATTTCATCCAAAATCATATAATACTTGTCCTTTTGATGTCGTATTTGTAGTTTTTGTTGATTTTGATAAATTGATTGTTTTATTTGGGTATAACTTACGAAATTTATTTTATCAAATATTCCTGTTTCTATTATACTATTAGATCTAAAATAAGTTTAAATAATAGTTAATTAAAACATATTAAAATATTTAGTAGACTATTGATGTGTTTGGACTCACATTAGTATATATTGTTTAATTATTTTTGAATTCCTATAAGATTTAGATATAAGTCGTGCATAACATTGTTGGAAATACATATCACTCGACACATACAGTGGTTTATCCTTTAATTGTGTCATTACTTCAATAGTAGCGATATGTTCACTGGCTATCATAACTGATTGTCTATCAATTATTGAATTTATAGTTGAGTCGTAATGATGTCCAATAAAATCAATTATACCCTTATTGTAAACTTTAGACACTTTAGAAATTACTTTATTTTCAATAGGTGTAGCTCTAAGCTGAATATAAAAAATATTTATATGGTTTGTACTAAAATTAATATTAAATCTCAATTAATACCTTAATTGCTTCAATTTCTTCATCTAACAAAACCATTATAACTTTAAGATTATTTTGTTTATCCAAATCATACAAAGTATCTATAGTTGTATGCGTTGTCTGTATAGTTGTCGACAATATTTTATTATTAATAATATTCATTATAAAAAATTTGCCGAAAAAAAGACTGCCAAATATCAATATTTCTTTTATTAACAAATTTTTATGATGTTTTAAATTGATATCTATATTTTATAATATTTATATAAAAAAAATATATTATTAAAATATAAGTAACATATATATAAAAAAAATAACTTGCCCATTAAAAACAATGCATTTGTCACTAACCATAAATTAGATACAAATATAGTAAAAATATTTGAAAATGAACTAGCAAGAATAAATTAAAATATACAATATACATACATGATTAAGTATACATTATATAATATTAAATTATTTAATATATTATATATATGCAAATTATTAAATGACATACTATGATTTGTATTGTTTGATAACGATATTATAAAATGAGTTAATTGTAGTAAATAATGTAATTAATAAAACTGTCATCATTATAAATAACCAAATCTATTAAATCAATAATATAATCAAATATAATTTAATAAAACATAATTTCAAAATAATATATTATATATAATATTTTATTTTTATTAACTAAAATAACCTTTGGTTCAACTATTTTCCAATAACCAAATAAATCATT